AACGCGTTCTCATCGTTGAAAGTTTTTCGCGAACGCGTGAACGTGAAGTTCATACGCCCGCCCAGAAGTATGAAAATGGAATATTTTGAGGCTCCAGCGCCAGGAATTGATGGCCCCAGTTGCAGTCGGCCGAGGGAATCCACGTAATCGCATGACTCGACGTTCGCTCGCCGCTTCGCTTCGCTTCGCCCTGTCTCCCGTTCGTCGTCGAGGTGAGCGAGGGCGCGTGGAGGGGAACCTCCTGCGTCGTCCCAACGCTGAATCTTTTCAAAATATTCCATTTTCATACTTCTGGGCGGGCGTATGAACTTCACGTTCACGCGTTCGCGAAAAACTTTCAACGATGAGAACGCGTTCTTTCCTCGTCTGAGCGAGAATCACATATGCTACGTTATTAGGACAGAGGGGGGGAAGGGACTCTCGATAGAGGAACACACGTGGGTGGGACTGCATATTTCCCTTCATCGATTGTATAATACAGTACTTATACGGGGGAGTTGTGTTCGATGGAATGACGTCGGCCACTGTATTTAAAGAAGTCGGGGAATCGAAGAGAGATAAACGTGCGTTATGTAAGAGGAAAGACTATGCAGAGCGATGGACGTCGGGCGATGGGCTCTCGAGTCGTGTTTGCCCCGATCCCGGGTGACAACGTGGTCTCGTCGCGGGGCAGAAACGTTAATCGCGGCTCGGACGAGTGAATCGTCGTCGTCGTAGAACGATCCGACGGAATGGGATTCCACGTGACGTCGGCGAGCGGCGGGGACGGAAATGTCGATGCGAGGATCGCATATCAAACCTTAATTATTGATGCGGGTGGAAAAAGCGCCGCTCCGCGTCGGCTTGGAACGTGGAGGTAGTGCTTGCATGAGCGTCTACATCCACATGAGCGTCTACATCCACATGAGCGTCTACATCCACATGAGCGTCTACATCCACATGAGCGTCTACATCCACATGAGCGTCTACATCCACATGAGTGTCTACATCCGCATGAGCGTCTGCATCCGCATGAGCGTCTGTATCCGCATGATCGTCTGCATCCACTTTGGATGCGACGTGGAATTCCTGGAACTGCTAGCGATTACCTTCGATTCCCTTCATCATCGTCTCCCACGTGAGTCTAATTGGCCTCGATTTGCAGGGACTGCTCTGATTGCTGATGAGAGTCTAAGATCAGTTAGAAAATTAATCATGAGATGAGTCAATGAGCGTTTCGCCGTCGATTCCCTTTCTGCGACCTTTTCCCGTTACGAAATTCCACATTCTCGTATTCCGCTCTGAGCGCGTCCGCCCTAGTAGCACATGACATTGAAACAACATCGATTCAACATCCGGACGTTGAACCGACGTTGAATCAATGTTGATTCAATGTTATGTGCTAATAGGGCGGAGGAACGAAATTGAGCATGTCGAGCATCCTCTCAACACGGAATCGCTCCAGCAAATTTGAAGCCCCATCTTTGCGGCGTTGCGGAGAACACTAACTCTCCGTGTCAATTCGTGTTGGTATTATTTTTCCTTCCTTGTGTGCGGAGGGGAGGGGGTTTGGTTTATCCCCCCCCCCCCCCTCCCCCCCACAAAAGAAAGATATCGGCCTTTCCTGGACGATAAGTGCCCTTTTTATTGCTGGCGATGCTCCATTTCGCCATGAAAAATGAAACTTTAGAGGAAATGGGATTGTCGGTTGCGATGAGGAAAGCGAAACGCGTCGCTGTGCTCCATATCGGACTTCGGAGAAAAGCATCGACATGCGGAAAACGAAATGCGACGGTCGCGACTGCCGCCGAGTTGCATTTCCACTCGGGGTGCGACGCCGATGATCTGATAATCCTACTCAAATCCTTCGTGCATCCTCTCGAAAGAGCAACATCTTCTTCTCCCAAGTCGAATGGAAATTCAAATGCGACGTTCGGATGGCTTCGAGAGTGAAAGATCGAACGAGCTTCCTATTTTTTTTCCGTACTTCCACGAATCGCCCGAATTAACTTCTGGCAGAGAGATCAAAGAGCGAACTTTCGATATCGAGGGAGCGAGTGAGTTGGGCAATGAACCAATAATGACCTTTCGGAGTCGGGACGTCATAACCTCACGTCATCAACCAGGGCTTCCTTCACGCACATCGTTGTTTCGGGAATCGAACAGCACCAGGGTGCAGCCAGCCTTTCACGGAGCGGCCACCTTTTCACGGAGCGACCACCCTTGACCTTTCTCTTGTCGCTTTTGGCGTCCATTCAGGACATTTGTCGGATTTCGATTTCCGTCTGGCCTTCGACTCGCATGCTCTAGGTATTTCGACTCGACTTGCTCGAAGACTTTCGTTCTTCGTCGCATTAAAAGTTGACATTCACAAACATGAAAAGTTGCCAGGAAGATGAACTCGAAATGCAACCGTGCATACGCACGCACGCATTTTCATCGGGACCGTCACATTTCACTTTCTGTACGTCTAAACATGTTTTTCTCGAAATTTCCGGCACGGCGATGCATTCGAATTTCCTCGCGTGGTTCTTCACTCTCTCGTTCCATGTTCGACTTGGAAAAGTTTCTTCCCCCCCTTCCCCCCCACCGCCCGCTCGACTTTGTCCTGCAAAGTTTATCTCGGAACTTCATATTTCCTGGCTGCTGTTTTGTTTTCACGCCAGTTTTTCTTACTTTATACGACCCGTGAGGCTCTAGGTTAGAAGGGGATTTAAAACCTGGAGAAGAGAAAGGATCTTTATGTGATGCGTACACCATAGAAAAAAAGAGGGCGCCGAGGTGTCCAACACTGAGAATTGTCGATGGTAGGGTAATCTCGGCAAGGGCCGACAAAGCCAACGTAGAGGTTTGTGGTGTTCGTGATGGAGGCACCCCAACCTTCTCCCAAAAAAAAAACAATGCACCAAAGTCGGAAATAACTGTTCTCGCGAATGATTCTGCAATAGAATAAGTTTTAATTTATTTATTGAGACTCGAAGCACACTAAGAAACAACGTGATGAAAAGTAGGAGTAGCAAAACCACAAGGACTCGCGAGATTTTCGGAGTGCCCGTAGAGAAGGCAGCCACTGCGTAAAAACCACCTTACTGCAAATTGGGAAGTTCTAAGCGCGTGTAAACAACATTAGTTCCACCATCCGAGAATCGATTTTTCCCCGTAACTACGGGAACAGGTAGTGAAAGCTGAATATCGAAGGTCGCAAAGTGCAGGGAATTACCTCCAATGCCGACGTTCGCAGCACTTACCTCACTTACCCCATATGGGATGAGGCGAGATCGAAACAGCGGTGAGCGGCGACCGACGGATGCGATGGGATGCGGGCAACCGTGGAAGCAATGGCATCCCTGTCGATGACGGCGTCCAACGCGTATTCGAATTTCGGAGGCAGTCTCTTCGCGGGACCTCGTTCAGACGGTTCGAGAAGCTCCAGATCGGCCTAACGTTATGTGTCCTCGTCGAGATGCCTCGAAAACCCCGAAATTGACATCCGATTGGCTCCCGTAAGCGGAGGGTCGAGATTCTTCTGAACGGGAAAAGGTAGGCCTAGTCTGAGTGGGGTTACCACACGTCCGGTTCTTAGCTTTTCGTCCGGGAAAAAGGCATCCCTATGGGTTACTAACTTACTATACGTCCGAATATTTTCCCGCCTTTTTCGCTTTCAAATTTCCGTCCGACTTTTAAGCGTCCTTTTTCTGGCTGTCCGACTGTCCGAATTATGGCAACCTGAGACCTGGTAAGCCTGAGAGTAATCTGTGAGTTAGGCTTAGGCTTAACATTTGTGAGTCCGTAGAGGAGAGAGAGACAGAGAGAGGAAAAGGGGGAGGGGGGGAGGGGAGTAGGATTAAGAAACCGGAAGCCTTTGAAAAATGGTTTTACATTATGCTTTATGGAACAAATTCCTATGAAAAATGAGAACGGAATAATATAACGCCTTTATCTCTCTTCCACCATCCGCATTATATATCAATATATTAATACTCAATCGGTCTAATATCTAGGTAATGAGTATTCTTGTTCAACGGCTTCCGCACACCAAACAGTAAGTTGTGCCGTAATTAAGCTCAGACGTAATTGCGGAATTCTTGAATGCCATCAATCAATATATCTTGATGCTTTTTTTTTTCTCGGGAAGGTAATTCAAATATTTTTCTTTCAATCTCAAAAGGGGAAAAAGTTTTTGGCCGTGAGGATTCTATTCTTTATTGCTAGAAATTAGCTTCCCTCTAATTGGATTGGAATAATTATTTTACAGACAGACCTTCAGCGCGTTTTCAAGGAGATTTTTTTAAAGAGTAAAATGCACATTCCTCGAACTCTTTCAATTAAATTAAATTAAATTAAATTAAATTAAAGCCGACGACAGGAGAAAGAAGCATTAAACGAGAAGGGGCAAATGGACGCGAATTTTTTTTTGCTGACGTCAGCATGGGATTTAGTGGAATTTTTTTTTCGAATTTTCCCGCCTCTCCACTCCCATCTTTCTGCTCGGTGCCGGGTTAGAAATCTCGCGAGGCTGGGTGGCTTAACCAGGTGGTAAGAGGTGGTTCGCTTCTACGAGATGGGAATTCCACTGTCGAATATTTGTACGCGTCGATATGCACAAAACAGGATCGCGAAATTATATTCCCCGTATAATGAACCTGCGATCGATCGGAAGAAACGAGAAATCGTCGACCGATCCTGCGATATTTTACGCAGCTCGCGTCTGTACGAGACGATCGTTCCGCATTCCGCAATTCGTACCCTTGGAAAGGTCACAGCGCGAATGGAAGTGCTTATTTGAGATGAATCGGTCGTCGCCTGCCCGAAGGGCTCGTTCTCCACGAGTGGATAGTCGGCCGGGGAGAGAGAGACGGCGAGTGCGTCGTCGTCGTCGTCCGAGATGAGAGGTCGAGGTTCGCTCCGCACTATTTTTATTCCCGGGATCGCCGTCGGAGGATCTCCGTCTCCATGGTAGGCGCAGTTTCCCTTTTTTTTTCTTCCGTGTCGATCGTGGGGGGAAACCGGGCGTCGGTGTCGGTGTGAGTACCGGTTTGAAGACGGGCGATTGGCTGGAAAATAAGTACCGAGAAGAGAGGGAAGAAAGGGCGAGGATAGATCCAGCCGATTTTACGCCAGGGCATCGCAGTCTCGCCCGTTTTAAATCCGAGAGTTTCGGGTGCAGAAAGATAATGAGTTCGACTTATTCATCGTTGCGGTAGGGCCACGGGCACGACGTCAAAAGAAAAATGAATAAATAATCTACGTACATCATGCATGCTAAGCAGATTCGCCCGTATTAAATTTGTGCCGTGCGTTCCCAGGAGGCGATTTCGCTCTCGTTCTTCTCGGAGTTTCCTGGGGAAAAAAATTTGTTTCATCGCGAATCGTGTTGGCAGAGGGGAACTCGAGGCAGAATCCAATACTTCCTAGAGGAAAATCATTTTCGCATTCCTTCCCGGAGTGTTTGAATGCCCCGGGCTTCGGGAAACCTATGAGCCACCATGTAGAAATGGGCGGGAAAAAAATTACTTGGCTTTCTTTTTTTTTTCGAGAAGAAAGCCAAGTAATAGAAGGGATTCCTTGGCCCTGATTGAACAGCCGACTTGCGGCTGCTCCTGTCAATTAAGCGCCCTTTTTTTCTCTTTCTCTACTTCTCACACCATAAACAGTTCGGTGGATATCGGCAGGGATATCGGCGGAGAGGAAAAACTATCGAATGGCTCGGGCGAGTAGGTGTGACTTAATGGCATTGTCTCGGAAGGGAAGTCCATTTGGTGCTTCTCCAAAGCGATTAGACCGGGACGAGCCGCATTCCTTTTGCCAAAACAAATGTCACTGTTCTTCGAGAACTCGAAATGCATGCGCGCAACGAGGCCCTCACACCCTTAAACCCGTTCCCAAGGCACGGTCCTCGCCTCACTCGGTTTCCCGCGCTTTCTGCGAGTGGGGGGGCTTCCGTGCGCGAACGGCATGCCCTTGGTACCGTGAAGAATTTCTGCAACGGTTGGAAAGGAAGTGATTACGTGGAATGCGGCTCTCCGTCCGGCAAGGAATCCCGTGAAAGAGGATCCCGTGAAGGAGGATCCCGTGAAAAAGGATCCGGTGTCTTCCGTCCGCCTTCGGTCTAGATGGAGTACCTCGATTCCATTTTGAGTGTCCGCGGTCCAATCTTCCGTCTCATCGATTCTCTCTCCTCATTTCCATGAAAAGTGGAATAACCCATGCATCCCGAGATTTAATATGCCACTCCATCAAGTGAATTTCATCGTCAGGACGCGATGCACCCAATATCGAAGCCATATTCCACCCACGAGTCCGCGAGACGGTCGTTTCGCGAGACGAACGGATCGCATTTTTCGCGAACGGCGATCTCGAGAGAAAAACCGTTTTGTGATTTCGACGATTAACGCTTATTTCCATGGCGTGGGGCCCTTTTAGATAGTTCCCAGAGGGACCGACCTCGAGATAAGTGCGACGTGCATGCGAAGACGAGCTTCCCGCCCTCTTACGTGCATTATTTAGATGGTTAATGATGTTCACAGTGGTCCGAATGAGAATAGACGCTAATATTGACTGGGAGGAGAAATGATTGCGCCGACCCCCACCCTCTAAATGTAGGACGAACATTCTTTTTCCCTCCTTGCCTCCTGTGTTCTCTGATGGCTCGAGAATCGATTTGGCAATCTTCCCCGGCGGAGATAATCTGCGTGTTGAAGAAAATTATCATGGCGATTGTCGTTATGTTAGGTGTTTGCCCGACACGGGGGCGTTTGAGGAGGATATCGGCAGGGAGACTCCCGAACCTCCATGGCCCATTCGGGCCGACGACCTTCCGAGATCTTCCGCTGTCGCTGCGTTCGGGCTTAATTCGGAGGTTGTGGTGAGAGCCTTTTGCCGGGTGCTCTTAACTCTTCGATCGGGGTGAGGCTTTTTCCTGGCTTCTCCCATCGATGTGTGGAGGAGGGTTCCCGGAAAAATCGGTGGGGTATCCCGTGAGGAGGCTGCGATTTACGTCCGTAGCTCTCGTTACTGCACGATTGCGCATTTCGTTTCCCCTCCGTTCAGTGTGCACACGGGAACCAAGAAGTAAGCCGTAACGTATCTCTGGAGCATCGGAGAAAGGGGGCGGGGAGCGACGGGAGAGGAAAACATGTGCTAATTGAGGATTCTCTTATCGGTGAGCGTCGGGAAAACGATGCACCTGCAGACCGAGGCGCGATGAATTTTTACTCTCAGATCTCAGAATAACGGCAGCGTGTTACGGCAGGAATCACGATTGCATGAAGCAACGCAAAAAAAAAACGAATATTTCTTGGAGTAAAAACAGGAGAGGGATTCCTCCATGCAAACATTCTATATTCGTCCTTAGTTCTTCATTCTTAATCGCGACGTGAGCACATTCCTGCTCGAGTGCAATGACACGCGACGTATCAATCACGCGATCGTGCAATATTTCGACTTTTCGATGCGATCGAGAAGGAATTATTCGTGAGGGTTGGGTGACACCGAAGGAATGCACGAAATGTAACTCAATTTGAGAAGATGGATACGGGTACTGTTGACGCGACGGCAGAAGACATAAATCACGATCGCGCGACGAGATCCGTTTCGAGGTCTGAAGAAACGAGTCGGACTGAAAAAATTTTCCTTCTTCCTCCCGTTTCTGTTTACGTGGAGGGTGTTACGAGATGGTCTCTCGCCGGGGAAGACCATGAATGACAGGAAGGAAAACACACCGAGACGCGTTCGTCTTCGTTAATCTCGAGACCACTTTGGGCCTTCCTTCTCCGCGTTCGGCGAGGATACTATTTCGGCACGGTTCCGTCTACAGAGCCTCTCGCTCGGTCGGGGACGTCCCGCTTCGTTTTTGGCACGTTTTGGCACGACGTCGGACCGCTCGAGCGACTCCTCGCTTTCGACTCGTTGCTCCCTGCTTTCTTCGTCGGGTGTGCGACAGAAGCCGTTTTCGGTCTGTCGGTTGCGCGGTCCGCTGCCGTTGCGAACTGGCGGGAGCAGTAACTGTCGTCCGGGGTAAAGAATCGCCGAAGAGTCGAACTCGGTACGAAAGTCCGTGGCGCGAATATTTCGACTTTAAGCTCCGAAGAGGAGTTTCATGTATCGCATTTACTTAAGGTAAGGAGGAACTTTAAAAATCAAGGATCTTAGATTTGCGACCTGGTTTATGATTATTGCCTTTAGAAAAGTGAAAGGAAGATGGAAGATTTTCGCAAAATCTGTTCCCCCTCCCGAATACGTGGTGGCACCATCAAGATTTCCACATCACTCTTTAGGATAGACTCGAAAAATTTATGTGGCTGTCCGTGGGAGTTATGGGGTTGAAATCGTCCTCTCTCCTTTCAGAGAACTTTCGAAATGAAATTTTCACGGAATCTGGTGACAGAGGTGTCAACATAGTCGGGAGACTCTTCCATATCCGAATTAAGGAGGATTCTTTCTTCTGTTGCTAGGCAGGCAGGCAGGCAGGCGAGTAATCCTGTGGGGACCTGCGGAGATTTAATTTCCTTGTCCAATTTTTAGAGTGCAACTTCAGATCGGAGGTCGCTGAAGGACACTTCCATTTTTCTAGAGACACCTTGCATTAATTATTAGCCATATTGTAAATCCCAGACCCTCGAATTTTCAGTTCCTTCCTACCAAAATATGTATGTATGTGAACACTCGGGGGAAAAAATTTCGGCATTGGAGAAGCCGAGAGAAAACTTTATTACGTTGTTTTCAATGAGAGACCCAGGGATGAATCAGCCTCAAGTAATTCTTAGATCGTGCAATGATTTGTGTACTTATTGGATAGCGAATGCACGGAGCGCCATGAGTGAACATATTGTCCCTGCCCCTTCCCGAGACTAGCTTTCTGAACAGGTTAGGTGCCTTCATGGACGGAGAGGAAAAATGTTAAAAGGGAGCAATGTAGCAGTAAGTAACTGGACTGTAGATGTACAGGGTGTCCATAAAGTCACTTCCCTATTTCAAAAGGTCCGATCTCCATTACGGAACGGCCTAGAAACTTTGTGTTCGACACAGATGATAGGAAGTAACTTTATGGACACCCTGTATATAAGTTATTCCCAAAAAAATCTGCCGTCAGGCGGTTTGTTTATCGTCTATGAAGGCTCGACCTTGACTTTGACACAGAATGTCAATATGAGCAGACGCACTCCTTCATGGCCCTTTACAAGCCTTGAACTTTGAATGTTGAATCGGAATGAATCGTAAGTGACGCGTAGAGACGTCGTACTGACAGCATACTTCTTCCTGACGAGAACATGGGGTAAATTGTTAATGGGCTTGTACCCTCATCGCCAAATCTTGATCTTGATTAAATTTGACGCACGAGTTGTAACCGGGTGCCATGAAATCGATTTGTATATCAATGGCAAAGGAAATATATTTGCAGAGAAAACATAGCAAACATTCCAACTTCCAATTTCAAGGAGTTTGGGCGGTGGCATTAATTGCCCAAAACGACCACTCGGAAGAAGTTGATTAATGAAACGTGGAATGTGAGCGAACGTGAGGCGATCCAGAGAAATCTTGTCGAATAGAGGAATGTAGGATTCTGGTGGCGCCGTTTTCAACGCGAGTTTGCTTATCTTCATCGCTCAAGCACTTTTATTATTCACGAGCGTCTAACTGAAATCATGCATAGGCAAAGTTTCCGAAGGCAATTTCGAATTTCACAAACTCGTTCGAGAGTTTGATCGCGGTGTTGGCTGATTGGTATGCATGAACCGATTTGATGCATCTGCCTGACGCAATAAACTACATGCATTAAGCTGATGCATGTTAAGCATCCCAATGAAGGAGAGTCGCTCGAACGAGTTGATGAAATTGCCCGCGAAAATATTATCTCGGCATGGCTTCGTAGTTAGACCCTTAATAATAGCGACGAGGCTCGAGAGAAGAATAAAAGGAAATAGACGTTATCAGCGAAATGGAAAAACGGGGACCCCGCCCTCTTCCTCCGTTCCTTGGGCGTTCCGCGAGTTTTCTTGGCATCGCCTCATCCTGTCACCTTGAAACTTTCCTCGATTTTTCCACACATCTTCCTGTCCCACTTTTCATCCTTAAACTCCGGAGTGATAGTTTTGGGCTATTAGTTTGACTCTTCCACTCCCCCTTTAACCTGGAAGTTTGAGTGTTTGCCAACTTTTCTCTGTGAATTTCTATCCTACACCCTTGAAGCTTTACCTTTAAATTTCATGACACGCTACTACGAGTTTGTGCATCGAATTTTATCTGGATCCTTGGCGTTATTTTTCTTCGGCAAGAGTGAATGAGTACACATTAGTCTTTCAAACCAAGCATGTGAGGGCCACCGAAAAAGTAGAAATTATGCAGAAATCAGGCTAAATGCGTTTGGGTTTGATCGATCATCATCGGAATAGTTAATATCTAGTCATTTCTTTCCTTATTATCATTGAATTTTGATATCTGAATCGTTTAATAAAATCCAAAAATGCTTTAACTGAGTGACTTTAACCTTACTCTCCCAAAATGGCAGAAAGTGAAAAAATTAAGCATCGATTTTACATATTAACACGGTGAAAGATGGGTAAAACATACAAGGAGATCCATGAAGACCTCATGCTAGTTCTAGGGGGTCATGCTTCTACATATGGGTGTGGAGGATTTTGGTTAGGCTATTTTAAAATGGCCGCCTAGACCCACAGGATGACGTCAGACCTGGATGACCAATAGGCGCCCTCAAATTAAGAGATAGTCCAAAGCGTTTGGGATGCAGTTGATGACTGTAGAGTTAACATTTCCCAAATTGCTGAAGCTGATGAGATATGAGAGGGGGAATGTTAATGAAATTCTTCATGAGCACCTACGGCAGAAAAAGATTGTGCGAAATAGGTATTTACCATTTTCCCTCATCCTGAAAAAGAAACACCAACGGGAAGAAATGGCGCAATGAATCCTTAATTTGACCCTATTCACTTGCGAATTCTGTTTACTCTGTATACTCCTTGCGAATTCTGTTTACTCTGTGTACTCCTTGCGAATTCTGTTTGCTCTGTGTACTCCTTGCGAATTCTGTTTATTTCAAGAGAAAAGGCAGAGATTGAGTAAGAGATGCAACAGGGGTAGAGGTGACGTCAACAATCAACTTTGAAACGTGTACCAGATACAAAGTAGTTACAAACACTTTTTTCACGGTTACGGCAGTTGAGAAGAGTCAGGAAGAGGGAGAAAGAGGATTTTTAAGAGATGGAATAGTATAATCGAGATCAACTTAGTTCTTACAAAGTTGTGTTTCAGAAGATATGAAAGTTCATCAGAGATGAGAAACTTTCATCATAAGAGAATTTTTTGTGCTACAGTAGCATTTAAATGGCTTTTTCAGTGACTCTCCTACATCTGAAAGGAAGATTTCCTCTGATAGCAGATCTACCAAGGGAGGATTTTATAAAGAGCTATCTGTCACAAAAGATCCCTAATGCCTAAGCATTACCGTCTTACATTACGCATGTCCGGGATGCAAACAGTCAAACGCATTTAGCAGGAATGACTCGCCTCAGCATGAGTTGGATATTAAATGTGTTGCTGTTTCAAGCGGCAGTCGATCTTTTACCCAGTTCGATGGGACGGGGATGGAATGGTCCATTAGGCAACTTCTTATGGAATACGCAGTAGGAAACTGTTAATATGGACTCTGGGGGAGAAAATGCGATTACCCCCCTCGCTACACCAAACGCGAGGGTAACAAAGGAGAGAGAAAGCCGCTCGTCGTCGATCCATATGCGGAAAAACACATGTTTCTGCGTCCCATTCATGCAGAAGAATGCACTCGTATCTGTTGCAGGTCGAGGGAGAGGCAGGTGCGACGTGCACCCGATTTCCACACTTAGCATTTAACGATGGAGAACAATCGAACCGTGAACGACACGGTGCTCGAGGATGAAGACAGGAAGGGGGGCGAGAGCAACTGGGAGGAGGTCACCATCGGAGTGCTAGGTACTCTCACCTTTGTCTCCAATCTCCTCGTCCTCGTCGCCGTTCAGATGCACCGGAAGAGCAAGAACCGCATGTTTTACTTCATCAAGCACTCGTGCATCGCGGACATGATCACGGCCGTCTTCACCGATTTCAGTCAACTGATCTGGAGGCTCCATGGGTCTTGGCAAGGTGGGAACGTTCTCTGCAAGATCGTCCTGTATCTTCAACCGTTCGGGATGGTCTTGAGTTCCTACATATTTGCGATGATGGCTTTGGATCGGTATCAAGCCATCTGCCACCCGCTGTCGGACAGGACCTGGTCCTTCAAGAAGTCGAAGATCATGATCTTCGTAGCGTGGTCGATCTCGATTCTGATCTGCATCCCCCAAATGATCAATTATTCCCTGACCCTGGAGGGCGGGGAACCGAATTGCATCGCCAAATTCATAGAACCGTGGGGCGAGAAGGCTTACGTCACGTGGTATAGCATCGCTTTTTTCTTCGTTCCCCTCTTCGTCGTCAGCTACGCCTACTGGAACATCACGAGAACCATCTGGCGCAACTTCGCGAGCAAGAACCGGGCATCCCGATGCGAGAGAGAGGAACGGTCGCGGCTGAGATCCCAAAGCCCCACAAAAGCCGTTCTCCAAGCCAGAACTCGCTTCTCCTTCAACGGAGCGATCGGGAAGAAGATCCGGAGTTTCCGAAAGAAGGACGCGGAGAGAGCTCAACCGGCCGAGGTGGAAACGTTGGATCATGGGGTCCCTTCTCTCAGCGATTTGTAAGAGCTCCATCGCATTTTCCTCTCGCTTTCTTGTGTAATCTCGTTTCCTGTCCTGCGAAGGGGCATCCATCCCCATCGAGAAGCAGGAAATTGCATTCCTACAGAAAGGTCACCCTTCTATTAGGGTTGGTGATACTGTAATTGTATTAGAAGCTGTCCGCGGATACGTATTTTGGGCCCTTGGAACGAAGATAAACCATGCATTCGGCATTTGAAACGGTGCTAATATGTAACAAAAAATGCATAAATATAATTTTTTTTAATAAAATCGTATAGGTATATAAGTTATCCCCAAACTTTTTTTTATTTTTGCCGAATTTCTCACCTCACAGGAAGTTTTCAGGTAAATCATTGGTACCATGAGCTAGTCTGGATTATAATTAGTGACAGCTGACACTCCTGAGGGCTGAAATTTGTGAGCAAGTTCCAAATGCAAAATGCGAGATGCATGAATCAAATCAAATGTATTCATTTTCGCATTGGCTTCAATTGAAATATCATCAACGCATTTAAATGAATTCTCAAAGGAGCCTGCGATAAAGTTGATGGGATTTCAAGAATGTTACTCCTTCAGCCTCAGATGTGAGGAGTGTCGATGTCGCCTGTCAGTGACGATCCTTTTTCAATGAAGATAGCTCGAGAAGAGGTTCTACAAATCCGGTCAAAGAAATTTCGGGGCTCGAAGCGAGAGATTGCGAATATAGTTTGTTATGTCTTAAGCCAAAAATTGTGGGGATGGAAAGTTCCTGAGAGAATTTGTGGGATAACTCATGCGCATGGCATGGATCGTCCTTATTATTCGGTAATTTTGAATCATCGACGAATTACCTGCACAGCAAATGCACATCCTGAAGTTGTGCAAGAGATATACCCCAGAGACAAGAAATAACTCCCATAAATGACTTTCAGGGACATTTTAGGATAACGGAAATGTCTGGGTGTGGATACTTCCCAATGATGACTGTCTTTTGTTGACTGGGATGCTATTGGGAAATTTTGAAGACTCATGCTGCTTAGACATCTCTTTCGGGGATTAAGAAGCATTTCGACACGTTCGAATGACTCTTCTGACTTTGCGACTTCATTTCCTGACTTTTCTAGATAATTCAAGCCCGTGTAAACCTTGAATGATGATTTCAGCTTGACCGTGCGATTAAAACTCGAAGCAAAAGGCTGGCAAATTTAGTCGATGAGAGTAAGACGATGACTAAAATGAAATATGCAGATTAAATGTACACTTGTTTCGCAGTTCATTGCTGGAGTGTTTCCTCCCTCGACTGTTTTCCCTTTTTTAAATAATATAATCTGGTTTGATATTTGTGGGGCTAAGATGCCTTGGAGGCAGACGCAAGGAGAGACTCTCTCCTGTTCCCTAACGAATCTCGAGATCGGGTGGGCTTAATATGATGAAATCACAGAAAACTCCTAACGAGAGAACAATGGGTGAACATTTATTGAGACAACAAAAATACATCGTAATGGACGATGACGAGCTAAAAATAGAGTTAACGAAGTGGCTATGATGGTACGAGAGGAAAATTGGATCGCATAGATTAATGACGAAAATGGGCTAGAATGGACGACCGAGAGTGACGAAAATTAACGAATGAAGTAAACTTCAGTTTGACCGAATTACTAAAACTTGATCAAAATGACTGACGATTTTGGTCGATGAGGTAAAGACCATGACTAGATCGAAATTCACCGACTAAATTCATTCTGATTCGGAGCTAATGGATCGGAATCCCTCTCTTATTTGTTGGTTCTGAATTCAGAGTTTCCTATAGCTGATATTGGAATGAAAGCCAGGCTTTCGAATGCCCTATAGAGATAAGGCAGACGTATCTCCATGCTTTCAGGCATCTCTTGTATTCAAGCCTGCCAAATACGTTTTATGATCATGGATCATTTCGTTCCATCTAACTTCAGAAATATCGACCCGAGGACGAGTTCCATGAGGGGCATATCCAAAGCCAAGATCAAGACTTTAAAATTGACCTTCACTGTCATCAGCTGCTTCATTGTTTGCTCCTTGCCGTTCATATCAACTGTGCTCTGGGTGACTTGGGATCCGGACGCCCGATTTTCTGCTTTCTTTAGAGGTCAGCTGCATCAGTCATTTTGCCCTTCATTTGACTTCTATCAAAACTTTTCCTTTCTTTCTCGCTCTGCGAAAAGAATTCTCTTGTCATGGTGAACTCCTCCCTGATGTCGAGTCAGGGAAAGCCGTACTTATACAAGCGTGTTTTTCAGGGCCAGGAGCGGCAGTGTTGGCACACCTGGCAGCCCTGAACAGCTGTATTAACCCATTCATCTACCTTTTCTTCAATCCCAACCTCGTGACGACAATGAAGGAGTGGGTCTCATTCCTCCATTGTGCTTGCCCGGGGTGCATCAAGTCCACCGTCTCTCGAACGAGAGATAACGAATTTAGTGAGATGACCAAGAACTCTGAGACTGTGGTCACAACACAAGCCACTCACCTCAATGAGACATTCATAAAGATGCACAAACTCAACTCTAAAGGGGCAGTGGAAGTTTAGGGGAACGCCTCAGGCTGTTCTTTTTGTGATATTTTCTTATTTGGGGTTATCTCGACGACGATCCTCCTAACATCAAGACGATGAGTCACGCTCTCCAAGTGAATATTTTATTTTAAAAATAATGATAAATCCTCGAGAGTGCAATTGTCTTTAACCTTTATCGTACGAAGGTCAGATATATCGAACGCTACAACTTCCATTGGATGAATGTTAGATATATCTAACGCTATACACGTGTCACGTCAACCAGCTCTTATGGTCCTTGGGTAGGCTTCTAACCCAAACAAATGATATAAGTCAAACCCTTGGGGTTTAAAAGGGCGGAATTAATTTCCGGCCGCGAGGGGACTGAAGGATGTAAAAACTCCATACGATGAAGGTTAAATGAAGGATCATGCGGCGCTTTATTTTTAAATCGCTCATGGATGAAACATTTACCTTTGCTGCATTGCCCAATATTCAATTCTGATTCTAGTGGGTCAAATTCGACCATAAGTGTTGTGAAGTTTTCCATGCAATTGTTTTTTGTCCAAAGTGGTTGTCACCAGGATGGAGGAAATAATAGGGGCAAGAAGAGGGAGCGACTGATCTCAGCTATCCTACAAGGTAGAAAGAACTGCTTCCCCAAGTCCCTTCACAGCTTTAGCAACTGCTGTGATAACCCATGATCACAAGCTCATTCATGGGAAACAAACAAATTTCTATTGTTTGATTCAATGTCCATTATATACTTCCTGTTCTGATGAGTGTTCACATAGAAATATCCTAAGGTTGTTGTGCCATTTTTGCTTTCAAAAACTTTATAAGATTCATGGAGATTCATAAATGAATGGTTTTTGTGGATCAAATGCCTGAATTTTCAATATATTCTTCCTGTCTCTTTTAACAAAGATGATTTTCAAGCACATCAGAGTGAAACCAAATGCACATGAACAAAGGTAGTTGCATTCTGCTGCCAAACTCAGACATGATTTTACTCAAGAAGTACAACTAAATTAATGGAAGAAACAGAAAAAATCTCTTTCCAGGTGTATATCAACTAGATTCCTTGGGTTTCAGTGTCTCCTTTCTTGACAAGAGTTCCTCACTGAGAATGTGAGAGAGCTTATCATGAACATCTCCCCCTTCTTGCAAGTTACTGACAACATCATCTGGAAGTTTGATCTTCCCATTCTTGAGATCTTCTAGGATCTGCTGCTTGCAGGAATGAAGACATACTGAAAGTTCTCTGACTGATAGAATTGCAGATTTTTTCCCTCCATCTTGGTCCCTGGATGCAATGCGCAAGTCATTGCTCACTAACTTCCGCAGCAGATTATCACTTTGATGCAGAATATTTTGTGAGCAGGTCTTCCGAGATTCCTCAGCCTCCTCTGAACGATCCTCTATTGGCAAGACAGGAAATAGAATAACTTCCTTAACTAGAGCCCACACTTCCTCTGCACTTGTAGCATTGTCTCCTTCGGTGCTGATCTGAAAGGAAAAGCTTTCCCAATGATGCTTCAATGGGTTTGGCGATTCAAGCTTCAACGCCATTTTCTCAATGACAGACTCTGCAATGCAATCTTTTCTATTCCTATTCCTCCTCAAGGCTTCTTCCATGCTGCATGTTAGTCCCAATTGCACAAAAGAGAAGGAAAATTCACGAGCAACTTGGCAGTACTCATATCTCATACTGCGATAGTAGTGATTGTCATCAAGAATAAGAATAAGAAATTTGTTGGCAGTGTCAGCATCCTTCAGTTCCTTCAAGATGTGCTTTTTGACACACTCATTGATTATTGAGACTTCCTTAGAGCTTCCATATTCATCTGCCAAGGCTTGGAAGATCCCATTTCGCAGAGCAGCCCTTTGAGACTTAAAAAGTTTTTCATCAGACTCTGAAGCCAGTTGAGAAATTGCAACTTGCTCCTCCAATGGAATGAACTTATCGAAGGATATGATGATAGGCATCAATCCTTGCTGCTGTTCAAACACAGTCCTCAGCTTCTCAGCAAATGTAGTTTTCCCACAACCTGGTAATCCCAAGAGAAGAATGAATGATCCACGGGATGTAGAAGAGGTCTCCATTGCTTTCATGTGGTTGTCTGTTGAGCACTTTCCAGTTTTTGAACTTCCTGAATCCTCTTCTCCAAAATTTTGGGCTGTTCTTCCATATAAACAGACATCAACTTATGGTTCAAGTTCACCTGCTTCCCACAACAAACATCCACACAGCGAATCTGGAAGAAAAAAGAATGCCAGCAGCAGTTGAAACCAAAAGCATATTAGTGAGACTCAGTTAAACTTAGATATACTCCACACATCAGCATACTCACCTCTTCGTCGCTCAGGGATCGATCATTCAGGTTCTCTATACAATGTGCAAAACAATATTCTGCTATCCTATTGTACACCAGCAGGAAGTCTCGAAACTAAATAAAGAAAAGGAAAGTCATTGTTATCAGATTACTGAGTGTGGAGCAAAATTAATGGAAGACACCATGTTCATAGTAGCTAGTCAATGGCTCTTCTGTCATTCCCACAATAACAGCAAATGGAACTGTGTAACTATTCACATTGGCCATAATAGTCTCTGACTAGTGTTCACTCATTTGTAACTTACCATTGCAGATGAACCGTTAATTACCTACATTTTTCTGTAGGAATAGTTAATTCCTTCACTTTTTCCAGAAATATGATAGCAATACACAACTACTATGTGCAACACCGTGTGTTCATGATATCATTATCAACATGCTTCCTGATTAGGATACCTCAGGAAGTAAAAAATCTGCCTATTCTTAATATAGAATTAATGATACAAAATCAACACACAATTATACAATTTTGAATTTCTACCACATATCCCTATAGCCCACCGTGTTCTGTTCTTCATTAAAACTGATGCCTGTTAGTAATCCCCACAATCTGTTATAGTCAACCATGCCAAGTTCATGAATACAGAGGCTTGTCTATTACTTGTAACTAATAGAATGTCAGTTAACCTTATTGTGTGAGCAGGCATCTTTTTTGGGATTAGAAATCAAACTTAGATGTAGCCTTAATGCCAAAGGCCGCTTTGGAATCAAACCTAGTTTTCTTTCCTGCATATAGGAACCCAATCCTCTTCATGTACAGGGTGCTTATGGAATCCTGACAAGATTTCCATTTTTGCCTGAGCCAGCACTATGCAGTCAAGATAACAAATCCAAACACATGCAAAGTTAAGGCTTCAAAGATTTTTACATGATTTTAAGATGGCATGTGCCTGCTGTCATATGCTGTGGTGATGGGAAACACCAGACAAGCAGAGTCAAGCATGCTCAATGCATCAAAAACAAATTTAAAATATGTTTTTCAGAAGAGAATATGCAAGGAAGGAAGACCAGACTAATTCCAAAAGGCATCTTTCCTTATTATCATACCACTGGGAAGATCTGAAAGATCTCATCAATACAACCATCATAACACCATAAGCAGAACTTAAGAATTTCATTTTAGGGGAGACTAAGAAGATTACAACAAATGAGTCACTAAACTTTTTTGTTCAAAAGAACCACTCTAACTGATGGGGGAGAGGGGAGTTAGGAAGCAACGAATAAGTGGGAGACAGCTCACAAATGACATGGGGCTGACAAATGTCACTGGGATTTTCAATTAAATTCATACCACCTCTGGCATGGTCTCCATGAACCCAGTGCCACTCTCATCACAGGAAATATATACTCACTTTCTAAGATGTGCCATAGAAATAACAGCATAATGTAAAATGTGGTATGAATGCATTTTCAAATCACTATATGCCCTTACTTACCTGCTCTTCCCTCTCCCCCCTCTAAACTTGAGAGGCTTCACTACCTATGTGGAATGACATGAGTTATTCATGGCTTTGCTTGACTCTAACGTCATCATGTGGGTTGCTGAAAACCCTATTTTTACCAGTTTCACCTCAGTTCCACTTGCCTTAAACGCAAGGCCCATCGTGAAGCACCACTAAAATCAGTCTATTAGGTATTGCACCTATTGCAGGGAACCGTCGCCTACAGACCTCGATGCAACATCTCAACTTAGGCCTTGTTAGGGTTGCCACTTTAGACAAAATATGAACAAATGAAAATATGTAGAAATATTCTAAGTACACTTGCATATTCAGCTTCACTGCAAATACCCACAACCAACTTATGTCAAGACGCCAATCGATACTAAGAATGTGATCTACTGCTTTATCCAAGAAAAGGAGCGGGTTTAGCTGCTACAGCAGCTCAAACCGCTCTTTTCCGTAGCTTTCGCAACAATTTTCGATAAGCGCTTTCATGGGACAAAAAATTTTAAGTTAAAAATTTGAACGATATAGTGACCAGTTTGCAGAATGGAGGCTGCATCTGAAATATGAGCTGCTCATACTAATTATGAACGGGTGACAACCCTAGACCTTGTCGGCACCTCATGAGAGGTATACCCCCATCTGTCTACTCAAATGACGAAAACCTTCCTTACATTTCGTACTGTAGCAAGGTCATCCATCTCTCACGGATACAAATATACGTTTATCATGGCAGGTTGGTAGGCCCGATGCTGATGAGGAATGGGCTGATTGCAAGACGGGAATATCTACCACATCCCCGGAGTGAGGCCCACGTTTTCACCAGGAACTGGATGCAGCCATGTCAGTCCGTGGGTGGCGACGAATCACCTTCCTACATACTCATGCACTGTACGCTTCCCTTTCCTTCCGTCAGATGGTTCGTGCTCTCCAGCGAATTCATCATCGATTATCAGCAGCCATATATCAGAAAATATTATTGCTGTCTAAAGTGACAGTCTGATAGCTAAATTGGGATTCTCGAGTTGAAGGACTATTTCTATATTCCCGACAATCAGGAGCAAAGAATATAACAAACCCAAATATAGCCTTAGAAAATAAAAAATATTCAAATACATTTCCTCTCGTTTGTGAATAGAATACTATTACTTTCGAAGATCCTTCTAAACGCAGAAATGATATAAATATGCATTGCGATAGCAGTCTTTGAAACTTTTATCGATAAAACGGAAGTCAGTTTCCCGTAGACCAAGGAGTTTCCGAAAACAACTAAGTTTATTCAAATTTTCTCCCTTCCTTTTCATCCTAAAACATGAGATTCAGTCGACCCAAAACTTTCACGTCTACTTTTGCAAAATTGCAAGAGAAAGTCAAGTTATGGTAACGGGGAAATTGCAATACGAACATGTTTACATCAATTAAAATAGCGTTGGTATAGCCATGCCGTCAAATTTCTGGAGGGGAGAGAAAGTTCCTGGAAACAGCTGAAGAGAAAATTGCTCATGTGCATAAACGTTTGATGATTATGCATGGTAATGAGTGCACGAGCAGAGCATTGGTTTATGTATGGTTCAGCAGCCTTAAATAGTTACTTCGCTGCTGAAGTTGAACGGCATTTAGGCAGTTTCAGGTTTCCCTCGTCTTTCTATACTGGGTGCATTTTTTTCGCTTTCGCACTATTGCTAGAATAGACATGAAAGCGTGTGTGCGCGAGTTTCAATGCTTAGAATATGGACAGGAAAAACAAAAGGATCTGGTCATCTTCGGAACACTCCTCGTAACTTTAGCTCCTCCCGACCGTCGCGGACGATGAGCGATTTGGATGTGATCCAACGATCGCTCAGTGAATTAGTGTTTCCGTCCCGTTGTTCAAGATATAATCTTTTTACTCGAGAGCTTGTCCAATGATTCACCGGGTAGAACGCCATACGGGATGAGTGGCACAGGAAAGGAGGGGGGGGAGGGGGGTTTAGGGGGTTAGAACCAGGGACGTAACCAGGAATTATTTTCGGGGGTATCTTGTGAGGATCTTTCAGGCTCATGAGATGACGAAGTAGCCCCCCTCTCTCTCATACTCCTTGTTTCATGAAATCTTGCTTCATTTCGGGGGGTGTCCAGGCACCCAGGCACACCGCCTGGGTGTCTGGAACCCCTCCTTTGGGCTTCCCGGTCAGTGATACTGTCAGGCATATTTCAACCTTCCTTGGGAATTTCAGTTTTAGCAATGCGTCTTCGAGGAAAGTCTGACGTCCGTCCACCGACCCAAGATGCAAGACTGTGATTTCTTTTAAAGGTAAATTCCGAGTAGTGGAGCTAAGCGTAAGGTCTGGCCTAAACCCTCCCCCCTCCACCCCTTTTGCCGATTTCCTGCCTACGCCACTACATCCCACAATAGAATTATTCATTCCCCGTGCACGAAGTTGCATTGATTGGGAATGTTGGAATGTAGGGGCAGGGATGTACGTGGATAGGAAGTGTGAGGGGCGGGGGGGGGGGGGGGGGGGGGGAAGGAGCAGTTACCAAGGATACTGAATATTAAACTAATGCGGGAGCTTGTGGCTACAGGCCTCTGAGTGCGTTCGACTAACTCCCCTCTCCCGGGGAAATAGGAAAGTAGATCCTCACGAGTACGATGAGTTATAGATATTTAGGGATTCGATATCGAATTTCTCGAAGACGGTCCTCGTATGGCGACCGTTTTACCCGTTTTGTCTTGGGCTTCTGGACTCGATGGAGAAGAGAGAGCCAACGGAAGTTCCACAACGAAGGGTGATCCTAATAACATTTCACAGAGAGGCAGATGCATGAGCACGCAGAGAGGCATGATATAATCGACTCGATACCCCTTTTGACGTGGCAGAGGACGAAGAGACCCGTTTCGCTTTCTTCGATGACGAGTTGGAATGTGAGACATGACCATGCTCGAAGGCCACCATCGCAGTAACTCGATGGGTAGATCACGGTGAGGAGAAGCCACGGTTTCACCTATCATTCCGAGTATCCACGACCGATTCGCTCCGTCATAGCAAGCTTGTCAATTGCCCGAAACGGAAATATGCGATTAACCGCATAAAATTCGGTGCTCTCATCTGGGCTCTTACTTCTAGCTCCACGATGAGGTGTCATGTATGAAACGTTCGAATTTAATTCGTCTGCAACGAATAGCGAAGGGTGTTTCGACTTGACAATTATCGTTGTCCGCGGCGTAGCGTGGTTGGCATAGCCATGGCCCAAGGACTGAAGCGGGGTCCTCAGTCTAATTTCTTACTGTTGAGTTATGTTGGAGTCATATTTTTTGCCACCACTTCATTTAATCCAACGAAGCGGCTGCCCAAATTGCGAGATGTCTCTGTGCAACGTTGCGTAGAATTCCTTTTGACCTTCCTTTTGAGCTCCCAGTATTCACCACGTCCCCATGCCAAGGGGCTCCCAGCTAACGTCCCCCCCCCCCCTCCCACCCCCGTGCCTTTCTCGCCTTTTCCCCTCTTCGTAGCTAGGGCGCTTGGGCCCCGGTGTAGTCGCAGTCGTGTACAGGGGTCCTAAAAAGCTTTGCCCTAGGGGTCAACAGAAATAAGCGTTCTTTATGTAGAAAAACATTTTGTGCCGATGAATGGTTTATTATATTTTATTGGAAGCCCCATCAATATTTGGCACGACATCTTTGGCATCTCGCGACGGCTGATGGATCGCGAAAAAGGAAGCTCTAGAACTAGACAGGAGCTCTGCGACGTTCAAATAGGATCATGCAACAGGCCAATCAACGCCTTCAAAAGAGCGGATTCCACTTGACGAAAGAACTCTCAGGTGGAGTCGGCTCGGGAGCGAGGTGCTTCGTCGTGGAGGTAACAAGGTGCTCCGTCATGAGGAAGCACACACAAGCGGGATCGATGACGCTGCTCGGATCCGAAAGGAAGTCCAACACAATCTCCCCGAGGATATTCACTCCCGACACGATTTTCCTGTTCTGTTCCTCAGCACAATCCCCCCGGGAGAAGGTGTTGGATTTCCTTTGGGATCCGAGTGACGCCATCCATCTCGCCGAGGTCTGCTTTCTCCGCGACAATGCCTCTCTTTCACGGGCCAAAAAGTTCCTTCGGGTGGAATCGAATTCATTCTTTTGGAAGCGCCGAATTGCCCGATGCATTCCCAGATTTCAGACCTGATTTAGAATCATCTCTGAAGACAAAATTGAAGAGAGGATGCTCTCAGGAGACGAAGCAAATGAATTATCCAAATAAAAGGTGATGGAACACTCGAATGCAGTGATCGAAGAGGAACATGCCACGGACTCGTTGGAGAGCTTATCGTTCCCTGAGCGATCATCTCATCATTGCCTGAGCGATCATCTGCCGTGAGAGATGCCAATGGTGGTCATATAAAATATCGAAGGGGCCCTTGAATGGACACTAGAAATTTATTGATACAAAACTTTCATCAATATAATTTGTGCTTATTGCTGTTGGCTCCTCACGCAAGGTTTTATTTTCTATAGAATATAAAGCAAGTATAAAATCAACCTCTGTAAACAACCTAGTTGGACTCTACCGTGAGGTATCTCATCTCTTCGAGATGGCGGAATGGAGAAGTGAAGTGGATCCATGCGTTTCTATGAATCTCATTGGAGCTATAGAAGCTCGAGGAATTCGGGATGCAAATGTATTGCGATGCATTCAGAAGCGCTTTCAGAAAAAGAAATTTCCTTTGAAATTCTTATAAATCCGCGATTCAGCTGATAGCTAAGAGAAGTCTTTTCCTTGGATTACTTCTACCTATTCTTTAAGCATACTAAAATGTTCGTCCTTTACTTCTCCAGCAGTTTCACCATGAGAACGGGTTAACAACAGCAACTCGAAATTTCCAAACTCATACTGTGACATTGACCTTTGAACCCGCGCCGCCAACTAGGAAAGAAAGTGTTCCTTGGAATTAATTTTTTACCTCTGCACTGCAGAGTCCTCCAAACAATATCTCTAACTCACCCCTAGAGAATTTGCAGCTGGGACTTTTTCGTCTCTAGGTTACCTCTTGGAGCAACAATAGCTTATTCCACATGAACATAGTTTCCTTAAGTTGAAGTTAATTCTGGTTTATCGTTTCCTATCTTCTTTTCAGCTTGTGACTCCGGAGGTATTTCTTACAGCCTTTGCAAGGATATTATTGTACGTCTTCCGTCTCACCTCATTTTTTCATGAAAAAAAAAACAAGCTTCAATATAAGCACACCAGTTTCCAGACGTTGCGGAGAGATAATGGAATGTTTTCATCACTAGGATTGGAGGATTAGTGAAATGTTCCCTTTCCTTCGGTTCATTCAGTCTCCAACCCGGGAGTGGGAAAGGGAAAGGGGGGAGGGGGGGGGGGGGGGGAAGGGAGGGGGGCAACCTGTACACGACTGCGACTACACCGGGGCCCAAGCGCCCTAGCTACGAAGAGGGGAAAAGGCGAGAAAGGCACGGGGGTGGGAGGGGGGGGTAAGAGAGGGGTGCAGAGTGAACGGAGGAATTACTTCAGGATTTGTCGGAAGGGATTTTTGGAAGCGAACGAAACTTGAGATCTTGTTGCCATCTCAGCCTGGGATATTCTATGTTTTTTTCGATACGGACTTGGTTCTAATTGAGTACCAGGAATTCGGGATGGAATCATCCAATGAATGCAAATGATAATTTCATCTCTTCCTAGAAATTGTCTTTATTTGATCTGTTTTCCTATCAGTCTATAAATTCAGTATATTGGATTTACACGTAGATACTGATGGTGAGTAAGCACGTATATGTAGACACAAATCTTATTAATGAATACTTTGTTGCCTCTCGTGTCAGAGACACATTTTTTATTCGGACCTTCTACATTTCATCTTTCTATCATTTTGGGGCCGTGACAGTTTCCCAAGATTCTCACCGTTTTGCATGCACCCAAGGGCAATGCCACGATGAAAAGGAAAAGGGCAAACTGGGGTGAGTCGGGAAAAGAAAGTGGAGCCTAATGATACGAACTCCGACTCTGCTACGAAGTCCGCTCCCAAGAGACATATGATATTTCAACATGATCAGAGGTCCAAACGTTCTTTTCAACCAAATTAATCCTATGCTTGATCTAAACGTGAATGTGTAATGTGTGCATTTTCCTTTCGAAAAAATCCCCCCAAAAAGAATGTCAAAATTGGATGAGGGGGCCGGATTTTGAGGTTAACGCGTTCGCTACCAATGACGCACATGCACGTCAACCCTAAATTTCGTAACTTTAGATTTACTATTGCACTACGGTGATCAAAATAAGGTTTTCCGTTCATCCAGTTTGGGATTTTGTTGCAAATTTACTTTGGGCGCATTAATCAAGGATGCGATTTTTCGTCGGCAGTGAACGTGTTCAGGGAGTCGGAATTTGTGTAACCTACTCAAAGTAGGAAGCTCGTTTCCTTATCTCTTGCCGAAATCTCCAAAGCCAGCTCTGCAATTAGCGTCGATGACGATTTGCTCGGAATATATCAGGTATAAAGATACAAAGGAGACCCCGACGGATGGATAAGACTGAAGGCACGGCGAGGAAGCGAGTGCTTCCGATTCACCGCTTTTCCCCTTATCGTGCTTCTGCAGGTCCATTTTCGTCGGAAGCTCCAAGGAGTCCAAGTATTCCGTGAACGAATAGCGGATTCCGTTCGATCCCTCGTCCTCATATCAATTATCCTTCCGCCCTCTCGATCGTCATCTCTCGTGGCATCGGATGGCAGGGAAGAACGTCTATTCCATATCTCGTATCAGTTCCGCAAAATTCATCTGTGGGGCTTGCACTTACGCTTCCCATCGATCTTAGTAAGAAACGCATTCATGTTGAACACGGAATCATAAATCATGTGCGAAAATAGGACAATTCCAGATCCGAATCCCGAAATACCCTAACTTAGCGAGTTTCGTCTCCACCCGAATGTCTCAGCGACGAGGCTTGCCGATTGTAATGCATTCCGAAGGGATTCTGCGAAGGGTAAAGTTCCTGGGTTTTCCCCGAGGGAAAGAAAGCTCATTGTGGGGGAATGCGACAAAATGTGGAAGGAGCCAGGGGGACCAAAATAATGAGAGATTCGCGTGGTGAACCGGTCGATAAGCAAGGTCCACTCCCCGCAATCCCCCGAGAACGATAACGGAAGTTGATTTCGCCTCATTCTAAAAGTAGCTTCTTTAATCGCGGAGGGCACATCGGCAAGGCGGGGGTGGAGGGTCTTGCTCAATTTCTTCCGAATCGGGAAGTCTTCCGTGGAGGTTCTCTTTCGTGCCGAGAATCGATTTAGATATTCGGGAAGCGGGTCGCAACAGAGTCACGGCAGCAAGGAATCGTGAGGATGCCTACCCTTTCCCAAGGAGTATAAAGGGTCCTTCTTTTGTCCCAAATGACAATGTTTCATGCTGACGGCCTCGCTCAAAGACGGGTGGTTCTGATTGATGACTCCAGTGAGTCTCGTGACGTCTGCAAATCCTTCCTGGACCTAATTGCTAGTCTAAGAGGCAGGGCCCGCACGAGTTGAACTGCTCGTTTCCTCGTCGATGGGAGGGTTACATGGTCGCTCCTCGTTAGCTGGGAATTATTTTCGCTGCTGCCGCGCGCGTTCGACTTCCTCGAATTACATATCATCCGGAAGCAATGCTATCATTTTCGTATTCGACGTATTCCTTCGGAATTACATTAAGTTTCGATGGGGTGTTTCGAAGAAAAGGGACTTTACGGGTTAAATAAAGATAAAATAGGCTTAATAAAAAAAAAGATAGAAAAAAAATTATCAACAAAAATGTCACAAATAGTTGCTGTAGAATGATTGATTGGCTGGACTTTTGTCTATCACTCTGGGATTTATCAGTAGATTTGGAAACACCCATTTATTCATTTTATGACTGAAGTAGCACGACGCCTTTCTGCTGAAGAGATCGGAAGTCACGCACTTCCATTATTCACCGATTTCTAGATCACGGAATCAATAAATTATATACGGGAAAAGAAAGTGCCAGACTCCACGAGGAAGCTGCGACCTCACGCAGTTGCTCGTAGACCTATCCATAATGTCATGTTCATAATGTCCTCAAGTCCACCTTCCAGCAAATATTTTGATTAATGAATAAAGAAAGGGATCCTTATCGTTGAAATTCTCTTGTGCGGCTATGAAACTAATGCATGGAGACAGGTGGAAGATGAAGATACAAAGGGGCGAAAAAGAATCTTGTACTTTTTCCTGTAAGAGAAAAAAGTCCTCACGAAAGAGATAAGAGAACGACAAATGCATGCCATGTCGATCTTCTTGAGAATCTGCAGCCCGGGCTCCTCCCCTCTTTTTCCATGGATCAAAGCATCACGCATGCGGAGGTAATTATTTGGATTGTAATTGAAGCGTCTGAATAGGTTAGAGGAGTCTTCTACAGCGTTTCTCACTTGATTCCGACATCCATGCATGAGAAGTATCACATATGAGTATCTGGAAACGTTGCGGATTCAGTTGGAAAGTAAAAAAAAAAAAAAAAAAAAAATTGTCGTCTCATGGTTTTGTTCAGCCTCAACCTCACGAGTTACAGTACACCTGCAGGTCATGCCACTCACACGCCCGCGCGCAATGACGTCATCAGGTTTGATTTGCCAATGGCGGCGCTCCTTTTCGCACATGTTTCTGTTTCACCGCTGCCTCTGCTCGGATTCCGACTCGCATATCTGACAAGAAAATAGGCTCATAGCGCTGTCAATTGACTAGTTGTCTGTCTCCGAACGTGAGGCATGGGCGCAGGGTTCCAGTTATTTGACATTTAGTTTCAAGGTACTTTTCATACGGTAAGTTCTGGCGTCTTAGGCTAGGGCCAGCAGTGAATTAGGATTGACTTAGTTTGCTTTCGTTGTGAAACCAACCCAGTTTCTCCGAAGCAGTAGGTTGTAGCTATTTATTTCCCTTGGTATATTTTTACTCTTAAGTTGCATTTTAAGTTCGTGGCTGGCTATCTCAATGGCAGGTCTTGCCCATCCTGATTCCTGAATTCCAATGTGCCAAGCAATTTCGGGAACTTGCTGGAGCGAAGCCTTTTATTATTATATAAAAAAATATAACGCTCAACCATTGGGTTTGCTAATTGCCTGAAACTCATTTGAAGTGAATTATAGAAAAATATAAAAGTCAGGGTGTAGGCAGGAATTGAACCTGTAGCATTAGGTCCCAACACCTACTTTGTAAACCTTTGGGATGCCAGTCCTCACTCTAAAAGGAGAGGCAAGCAGGAGGGATGTAAAGAGAACAGTAGCTATGTTGCCCATAGGTACTATTGCAGTGTCTTTTGCCCATATCTTTCTATTATGAGGGCATTGTGCAATGAGTAGTTAAGGTAGGCTAGGCTTGCAATCGTATAAATGTTAGGTCTTTGCATTTATTACAGTATACTAGGCTTACCAGTGGCTACTGTAATCTTCTTCAGCCAGCTTAGCAGATACTAGACCAGAAGAGCTATGGTAGTGAGGGAATGGGTTTTGTGCTACAGCTCATTCAGGATTAATTTCGGCATTGCCTGGTAATTTAGGCCTATATTTAGATAGCTTTTAGGTTTGACCTACCTTGGATGTGAATTGATATCAGCTCATAATATCTTTTGGTTGCCTCTGATGGAAGGAATAATCATAATGTCCTTCCCTAATGCAGGATTATTGGGCTACATTGGATATGGATAGAACTGACATTGAAGATCGATTCCGTATTGTAAGGAGACACTTGGATGACCTGGGTTATCACCAAACATTGCCTTTGGAAGCCCTTCCACTGGTGGAACGATTGTTCTATGATCTACTTCATACAACAGATAGCTTGAAAAGGTGCAAGGAAAAGGGTGAAAAATTGGAAAAGGTGAGTGTCAGTGTAGGATTGTTGCTCTAGGCCCAAGGTTGCTTCTGAGATGAGTGGTAAAATATAGGTTTTTGTATGTATCCCATCATATAGGAAAAGGCAAATATCAGTGCAGCACTACAGCCATATCAAGAGGAGAATGCAGCATTGTTAAAGGAGAACAATGAACTCAATTGGAAAATTCTACGGCAGAAAGAAGAATTTGATAAAGAACTGATGGGTAAATGTGTATAATCCTGCAAAAGTGTTGCACTCAATGTGATTGTTCCTTCTGGGCACCTTTTTTTACACAATGTTTGCTTTGGTATAAACACTTTAGGCTATCAGGTGGAGATACGGCGACTGAAAAATGAGATACAGGACTTAGGATTTTTCAATGAACGCTATGCAAATCAAGTGAAATCTCTTCAATTAGATCTGAAGAAGAGGGAGATGAAACTAAGCCAACTATATGATGGCAATAATCAAGCTGTGATCGTTGTCTCAGGTCAGTCAGAGCTCTTGCATGGCGTTTTACTTAAATATTTATTTTGGGATGAGAACTGTTTTTATTTCATCTTTAAGATTGCTTAACTTCTACTCTACAGGAAATGGAGGGAAGAAACAAATGCCTGTGAGGAAACAGCAGATGGAAATTACATCTCTCCTACCACCTTCAAAAGATGCTCTGAAAGAGAAATACTCCTCAAGAAACTCAGAAGATCGATATTCTCTGGATTTAATTGAAATGGCTGACAAAAGAATGACACAGTTGGAGGAGAAGTTACAAAAATTGCATAAGGAGCATAACCTATGCAAAGATGACATGGCTCAACTGCAAAATAAGGTGATGATATTTATGTGGAAGTAATTACAGCTTATAATGTGTTTGAACAGAGGAGGTAGGAGTGGAAGAGAAACAGGAAAGGATTCCTATTGTTATGATAAATGTTGCATAAGCAGAATAACTAATTGCCCATGGCTGTATACATGTACAGTTTCTAGTGTTGGAATCCAATCCTCTCCAAAAGATATTCCAAAGCTCTATGAAGCACTAAATGGATTGTGCATGGTGGTCTTACCTCTTGGAAGTCTTCCACTGGCCAGAGATTGCAGAGGCCTGCTTCAGCTAGCTGCAATGAGGACCATAATTGTGGTCTCAGTATCATTAGGCTTACAAAGATCTTCCAGAGTTGCACTTTTCATTGCTGGTAGCATGCTTGTGCATCAAGTCCAGAAGCTATTATCGTCTGGAGGAATGGATAGGAAGAATGGCCTAACGTAAATTCTAGCCTGAATGAAAGAAAGAAAGCAAATATATTTAGTCATTTGGATGCCTTGTTCTTTCTATGAGAATCTTATCTACCATATAAACTTTTCTTGCATAAAACAAGAAAGAACAGTAGATGGTGGCCAAAAATTTGGTTGACCTGACTATTAGTAGAAGTCTGAAGGATCTTCAAGCAGAAAGCTACATTATTGAGGAGGTGAAGAAGGAAAAATATGCTGCAAGAGATCTTTCAATTCAAAATAAAGTGCATCACATCATAAAGTAGCATATACCAATCCTTAGTCATAGAAACAGGCAATTACAATGCTGTCACTTTACATGAGAAAAGTTGCTATTCACAGTAGTAGAAGTAAATGTGACCATTTCAGTGTTTGGATCTCATACCATGTGAATTTTGTGTGCTCATTTTAATTTAGATGAAAGATGCAAAAACTAAAAAATGGTAAATTTCCAACTTGCTTTTCATTTAGCATAATAGTATCACTTAGAATACCTTTGAAGACCTTAAGCATCTTCATGCAGACCAGGGAAATGGAATGTCCAGTATGAAGGAAATGGGATTAGGATAACTTCTAGAATAGCGTAATATACAGGGCAACCCATCCAAAACTCATCAGGTTGGATACTGAAACAATGGAGTTAAGAATACTACTATAGCCTACTTTTATTCATCCTGAAAGGCCTGCCTCATGGACCCTTGAAGCTGTAGGAGTAGCCTGTCATTCTTTTATGTCAAAACTCTAATCCAGGCCAGGCAATTTTGTGACAAAAATGAGCAGGACAGAATCAAGTTCATTGGACCCCCTTGCTCTTTTGTTTTTTTTTTAAAAGCAAATAACAACCTTAAAAATTCATTTTTGGTTCTACATATAACTGCCAATGAAGGAAACAACATTTTTAGAAAATTATAATTGATGCATCCCGTTGCATCAATATAATTGATGAATCTGTTGGACTCCCATAGAAAACAGTAGAGCTTTTTTTTTTAACCACCCTATCTATTTCCAGTGGTACTACTATTTTGAACCTTCATCATAATTTCCTTGCTGCTGGAAATGTAACCAATTTCTTCACTTCTGCATCTGTCAAGGCAACCTACAGTTACAAAATCTTAGAATCCCCATTATTTGTGTAACTTGTTATTTTTGTAGTTATTGCTGTTGATTTCTTCCTGTTTTGGATCCCTCACTTCATGCTCATAAAAAACAAAATCCGCCTAACTATTTTCTGCTTGCAGATTCATGTCATATCATAGAAGATTAAGTTTCCTAGAGATTATTTATATGTAAATGGTGCTACCATCAGTGTTGAAAGTTTATAGGAATGGTATCCCCATGAGCTTTCCAGGAGCAAGTAAATAAACTTATAGGCAAAGTCAGCTTTAGCATTTAATGATAATCTGCCTTTAGTACATAGTGATGGTTAAAAAAAGAAAACCTGACTGAAAGACCTGTCTTAAAATTCCAGTGGAGGAGTCCAACCCATGGCTCATTTGCTTTTACTATTGATATTACTGTATGCATACTGGTTGCATCAAATAACATCACTGGATGTTATTTGATGCATGCAAGGCTAAATTTACATATGGAACACTTTTTTCTGACACGTGACTCTTGAGCAAGCTTTGATTTCCCTCTACTGAACTGGCCCTTTATCATCATAAATTTTTTTTATCTGAATGGGCCTTTTCTCACTTCTGTCTGATTTCCATATCTTGTAGGTGCAGGATTTTCATAATGTTGATGAAAAATATTTTTTTCTGCTATCCCTATTTTTTAAAATGGAAAAGTGGGGTCAACTGAATTTCCTACCATTCTGTATCTATCTCCTACAGACAAATTTGGGTCTTAATTTTTTTTCACTTTGCTTCATGTGCCTTGATGGTTTTTATTTGCTATCACTCCAAGGCTTGTATTTATGTGGTCATATATTTTTAACCCTTCAGTCCCATTCTTGTCAAATGACAGGTATACTGTAAGCCATATCAAATCCTGACTGTAAGTGTTAAATCAAATGACATAAAATGTTTAGGTCAAGAGGAGGGAAGAAGAAATCATGCGACTGCAAACACAATTGAGCAAAGGAAGGTCTTGTGAAGAAATGGCTGAGTCAGCAGCTGATAGTGCCAATGATCAACTCTTGAAGGATCTTCATTGCCAAATTGAGTTTCTTGAGTCACGCAATCAAGACCTTGAGAGACAACTGAAAGGTTTCTGACTCAATTTTCATTGAAGCTTAGGACATTGTGGCTTCAACCTCTTTGTAGTACCTACTTTTACATACATTGTTTCAAATGCATTTTTGCTGTTCCAGCTGCCTTGGACAAACAACATGAAGCCATGGAACAGGCAATAAGACAAGCAGACCATGCTCGTAACCTTACTGCTGAATTGGGATCACAGTCTCCACCAATATGCAGGAAGGAAGTGAGTTTCTTGATCCAACTCTGACTTTCTCAGTTGTTCTTTTTTAATACTTCAATATTTACCAATTGTTGAAAATACCATTTGGTCCCAAAAAGGTCTTAACTTTATATTTACACAGTTGTTGGTAGAACACCATATGAGATATTGAAAGGGCATTTACAAGATAATGCTTGTAATGTGTAGTTAGTTTTATGAAAGTGTTAGTGAGATTCCTCCCTTACCCATGTAATAGCTTTTGCTGGTATAGTGTCAAAAGACTGCACCTGGCTCCTCAGCTGGACTGGTTAGGGCTTGTACACCCATGAATGCCAGGGTTTGTATAAGGTCTGTTCAAAAAGTATCAAGACTGAACATGTATTTGTGGTACAAAGTATTGGGTGGGGGCATGGTTTTGCTGAACATGTCTGGGCATGTTGGGACTCTTCTTGGACAGGTTTGCAGCTCATGGTGTTTCCCCAGTTTTCTGTGGCCAGCAGTTGAAGTATGATCGTTTGTGTCTCGTGTCCCCTATCGTTACCTCAAAGTGTCCAGACCAATGTGTGTGCATTAAATTTTGCATGAAAATCCGGAAAATGACAAGTGGAACATTTTAATTACTTAAAATAGCATTTGGTGATGACACTATGGGCTGTGCAAGAGTTTTTGAATGGTATCGTTGGTTTAAAGAAGGATGATCATTGGTCAAAAGTGATGAGCGTTCCATATGCCCTTCGACATCACAAAATGAGGAAAATGTGGCAGTGGTTCAGTTTGATTCAAAATGATAGGCGATTGACCATCCGAGAGATAGCAGAATATTTTGGAATTTCTGTTGGTTGATGTCATTCAATTCTAACTGGCAATATGGGAATGAAATGTGTCTCAGCTAAGTTCATACACTATCTGTTGACTGATAAGCGAAAATAAATGCAATTTTTAGCTGAACACCATATCCCACAAGTGCAGCAGCCTCCATATTCACCTGATATGGCCCCATGTGACTTTTTTCTCTTCACTTAACTAAAGAAAACCTTGAAGGGAAGAAGATTTTGTGATGTGGAAATCATGAAACAAAATGCGACTGAGTGGCTTTTAGCAAGCCCACAAATTGCTTATCAGAAGTGCTTCCAACAATACCAGAAACATTGTGAGAAGTGTGTGGTTGCAGAAGGAGCATACTCTGAAGGAGATTAAGCCAAAACCCCTGTAAATAAAATATTTTGTTTCCTACAGCATCAGTCTCAATACTTTTTTTTTAACAGACCTTGTATGCTGCTACACATGTTCATTTGATATGAAGTGGAAGAAAAGCTGTTACCTGGATTCTCCTTGCCCTATTTCGTTGTAATTTTTTTGAAACACTTTGTTGTATGTAACTCCTTTAAAATATCCTGTTGATACCTCTTATGGTGTTTGATCTACAGCCATCTAAAACTGAGAACTTTACTTTTTAATATATACCAAGAAGATTCAGAATGTATGATTGCTGGGAGGTGTTCCAGGATACAAGTGGCAGCAAATTGAGGAGAGAGCACTTTGAATCAGAAATCAAAGAAATGGAGGTCCTTCAGGCATCACAAGAGAAGGAAATCAAGAGACTTCGTGAAGAGAATTGTCGTCTCATTGAGATGATCGAGCTTCTTGATAAACAGAATTCCAAAGTGGGGAAAGATTCTGCTGATACCAGAACCAAAGGTACTGAATGTGCTTGAAAAAAGAAGGCAAAATATGCATGGGAATGGTTTATGGTATAATTATGAGAATTATCCTTTTTTTTTTCCAACAGAGAAAAGCACCAGGCCAGAAGTGGAACCCTTAACAAGACCATCAAGTGCTGACAGAGACAAAAGTGCCAGAATAAAGCGTGTGGAAAACCTACGAAGAGAAAAGACAGCTACGAGAAGCAAACCCAATACACAGAATCAGTGCTATGATGAGGACACTCAGAAAATCCTGGAAGGGATTGAAAGGTTGAAGATGAAGAAAGTGGCTATATCCCGTAGTGCCAGTACAGGAGATGTCATGTTACAAAGGGACATTCAATCATCCTCATCATCAGTGAGTTCTGCAAAATTAGTCATGGGAGTTGGTGCATTTCAACTAGATCTGGTCTTTATGTCACCTTCAGTCAGAACCTGGGACATGCAGAGAAGTGAGACATGCAGTATCAAGACAATTGGCAGCTCCTGATCAGGATAGGAAGGAGAAGGATTCCAAGGAGGTACTGATTCAGGCTCTGAGAAATGAAATGAAAAGCCTTCAGAATGAGATGAAGAGTCTGCGGCATGAGAATGATCAACTGACTTGGGAGAGAAATAGGACACGTACTCAAATTGGCCCTGCATCCTGGATTCCTGATGGAGTCAGTAGTGTGCTCCTTTTGCTTGCCTGCTTGTTGTAGACATTCATAATTATCAATGAAAATGTTGAGCTGCGTCTTTTTTTTAAATAGGTGAGTGGCTCGGCACAGCAATGGTCAAGAGACTCTAGGGTCACCTTGCAGGAGGAGACTCATCTGACATCTGCTGCTTCTGATTTAAGATCCACATCAGTTGCTGTGAGTCTTGAGTAACTCCAAAATATTTAATTTATTCTGTCTGGTTTTACCCATTCCATTCTTGTCTGGTACCTGTATTGACATGTGCATGCCATTTCTTAAATGTTTTTGCAAAGACCATGGACTTTCAAAGCATTTTATGTTGACTTTCTCAAATCAGTTTCTGCAGAATTTTATAGGTAGCTTTGTCCATTCTTCCAGTTCCCATCTGGAGGATTGAGATTGCCCCTGCAGCAACAGCAACAACTACATCCACCTCCACCACCATCACAACTCCCACAACAATCCCACCTCCAGATCTCCAAACAAGATACCATGTCTCACCAAATCCCTTCTGGTGCAACCATTTCTCACCAAATCCCTTCTGGTGCAACCATTTCTCCCCCATCCCTGCCTGGGAATAGTTCTGGGGTCTCAGTTCAACCTTGGATACCACAAATGAGTGCTGCTGCTCCTCAACCTGTGCTGTCTGTTCCTGTGATTTCTAGTAATGGAACCCAACCCCCACTTCAAACTCACCTTCAGACATCAAGCATGTTGCCTCCATCATATCAAATATTTCAGCCACAGCCACAAAGTCAGACTACAACCCCTCATGTTCTTGAAATACCTTCATATGAAGCTCCTACTTCTGCCTTTAGGCACTTTCTCCCACCTCATTCTAATGTAGAGGGAACTGTAGCTCCACCTGGACATATTCCTGCCATTCAGGTTACATCTCAGCCTTCTTTGTATTTTCCAACTGCAAGTGCTGGTGCATCAACTGTCTTACCAAATACACAACGTCAGTCCTTTAGAGATGACGTGGATCCTCATTCCCAGGCATATCCGCAACCATACTCGGTTGGTGTTTGGCCTAGTGCATCTCAAGTACCATCCATACCTACTGTTATCCCACAGAGACCTCCTCAAAATGCAAATATAAGTGCCTCTGTTATGTCCTTACCCCTCTACCATGGTAATGAATCTAATGGTCTCTTGGACTACAACAAGGGGAGGGTTACAACTGGAACTGCACCAGTGGACATAACTCTTGCTCCAGTTTCCCTACCAGATGGAAGATTTCAGAGTGTTACACTGGGGGAGGGTCAGGGGAGAAGACAAGAGACAAATTCAGGAACCTTTCAGCAAAATGGAAATATTCATCCAGCTTCTCAAGAAATAGGGCAAGGGACCAGAAGGGTAGAATCACAGTCTCAAGATGTTTTTTCATCATACCCTCCTCAGTACACTCTGGCACCATCCTCCATATCCCAGTCTGTTTTGACTGATTCTCATTTTCCACATCAACCTGTGTCTGCGGCTATCACAACATTGCACATCCCTCAACCTGTGTCTTCAGCTGTCACAACAATGCACATCCCTCAACTTGGGTCTTCAGCTGTCACAACAATGCACATCCCTCAACCTGTGCCTTCAGCTACCACAGCAATGCATATCCCTCAACCTGGAAGCCAGACTGGGTCGGCTTTATCTGCACATGTTTTCCCTTCATTGGAACCATCTTTGCCAAGTGTCATCTCCCACACAGGAGGAATTCGTGTTCCTGAGTTGTCTACAGTGGGGTTGCCATACTCTGCACCATCAACTCATGTCACTTTCACTTCAACAGCCACCTCTCATGCAAGACCCCTTGTGGATCAGCCATTTGAGACAGGAACACCAGGCAATCATGGGGATTATCAGGTGTATACACTCATGAATGAAAAAGATATTGCTCAAATCTCTGCAACTGCAATGCCTAGTGCAGCATTTCATGTGCCTCAGGCAGGAGGTCCTCTTCCTGCCACTTCTATTGCCTTCACCTTGCCTGCCACAAGTAGGGATTATAGTGAAAGTTCTCAATGGCCTCCTCTAGGAACCCCAAGCACAGTTCCAATTGTGAGTTGATCTCATGACTAACTGTAACTTGGCCTATCTTTGTTCACTGGTCAATCATTTCAGTCATTCTTGTCATGATGAATTGCTAGGAAGGACTGGGGCCTTTTACAATGGGTGCACCTCATAATCCCCTCTGGCATGGAGCAACTGGAATGGGCATGGGTGGAAATCCTGCCCACCGTGTGACAACTGTGTCTTCAGCTGTTCCTTCAAATTATCAGGTACTGGTAGTTGTGGTGACTTATTGCTCTATTTATGACTTTCATTTTACACGTAAACAGGATTGAGCATATCTCAAAGAAAGAGTTATGAAAACCAATACAGGTTACAAAGATGCCACTTCTATAGAAAAAAAAGATCAGAGTTTTAACTTGTGTACTTGTGGCACTTACTGGAGCTGCTTTTGCAAAACATGCATTGTTCATAGAATGATATATTTCCAACAAACTCTGAAGTTTCATCCAAATTGATATTGCCAAAGCAATGCCATGATTGATTATTGTTTTGAAATTGGAAATGGGTAGGGGACTCCAATCCTTTTAACTGCCTTGTCCTGCCTTGTTCTCTAATGAAGACCAAGGAAAAAATCTGAGGAAATAATAAGCCTCTGTTTATGATACTTATTAGAGATGGGGCAGTAAATTGACCAGTCAATTGACTACCTTATAATTAACTGTTATTGACAGCTCTTCTTTTTATTCAGTGAATTAATAAATTTTTAATAGAGCTCATAACTGTGGTCATTTATCCTCCAGCACTAAAACCAAAGAGCCAGTTCCATTTTAAAGTTATATTTATGCAGTCCACCAGACATCTGGACTGGGGCACCGATTGAATATGAAAATATTATAGCAAATGCTCAAACTATCATGACCTCTCACCTGAGTGGTGTAGAGTGTGTACATGCATAGCCTGCATGCTGTTCAAGGTCTTCCAGCCTTAATGAATTTGAAAGTTAAGGTTTATGATCTAAGTTACAGCTTTAGAATTTTAGTTTAATGCAAGATCTATCATGGTCTTGGCCAATTGTCTTTATCAGAGCATCAAATCATTCTCAGAGTCTGTGATCAAGGGACAAATACTTGGATTATGCCTAGGCCAAAGCCTGGAAACCATTGATCTAGCTATGAAGAACTTCCTTGAGCAAGGCAGAGACAATTTTTTCTGGCAGGAACAGGAATAAATGCTAATAACCATGAAACTCCAGTTCTGGAAACCTTGTGTTGTGCACCTCATTATTCAGAGTACCCTTGGAGCTACCTAGTCACAATCTACCTCTGAAAAAAATGACTGATTACTGTTTAATGTTTAATGTTCCAAATCATGCAATCTACAGGATGGCCAAGAAGTCACCGTACCCCTATCTACCTTTTCATATACGAGGTCTGATCAAAAGTTCCAGTACTTTTATCCGTAAACTTTATTTTTTATAAGTACATTAAAATTATTTGTTGTCCCCTTCAAAGTATTCCCCCCTTGATGCTATGCACTTATCCCAACGCTCCTGCAACTTCTGGAAACAGTGCTGGAAGTCCTGGAGTGAAAGGCTCTTAAGCTGCCTCGTCGCATTTTCCTTGATGCTTGTGCAATGTCTTCAAATCTCTTTCCTTTCAGGTGAAATTTAATCTTGGGGAACAGGAAAAAGTTCACACAGAGCCAGGTCTGGTGAATAAAATGGGTGGGGCAACACAATAATTTTTTTTTTTTAGTCAAAACCTCTCGAATTGTGAGAGCAGTGTCGCTTTGGGAGTCTCTTTGCTAAATAAATAACGAAATAATCTTAAATAGCTAGGGCCAGCCCTGGGTGTCCGCCATGGTTAACCGCCAAAACTGATTTCTGCTGAGTTTTTGCAGAAGTCGTCCAGCCGGTCACGCATGCTCCTTTTCTCGCCGCTGCGTTAAGTGGGCATGGGAGATGGGCACACAGGTATTTTTTAGATCTCTATTCGCGAACTGTATAAAAATATATGAGAAGGTAAATAGGGGTATGGTGACTTTTCGGCCACCCTGTATATAGGGTTAGGTCTATCTTAGTGATGAGATGTTGCCTGATCAACAGGGTCATTTACGATCACATACAGGGTGGTCTTTATGTTCTAATACAAATTTTGGTGATGTGTTACGTCTAAAAGGTTCATTAAAACAGAATGAAACTTTCTAAAATTAAAGTTTAAACATCAAGGCTTGCATGGAAAAATTTTTCATTCATGATGTCCACAGTTTGCCTTTGCACATGCCTTCAAACTCCTATTTCAGTCTTAACACCCTTTTTCAACAGTCTCTTCCGGTATCTTTTCCTGCTCCCTAAGTAAGGATTGTCTCTGGGTCTCCAAATTTCTTGCAGGCTTCACATTGACCTTTGCCTCTAGGATGGATCATATTAAATAATCCAATGGGTCTGGCAATGATGATGGACATCTTTCCCACTTCATGAAATCCAGAAGTTCCTCCTTATCACTCCTGAGTCATCTTGGCCTTGTGAGCAGATGCTGAGTCTTGCTGCAGCATCCATTGGGATTCCTCAAAAAAATTATTATTCAAGGGTTTGGTAACTAGCTCTAGTACATCCCTGATGTAGGAAGTCGCATTGATTTTTCACTCCAGATGGAATAAAAGTCAACCTTGTGCAGCCACAAAAGGATCCTCCAACAAAGACCATTGCACTTGAATGCTTCTGTGTCCTTAGGGTCCTCAAACTGTCATCTGGAATAGCAGATTTGCTGGTCGCATAGACCCAATTGTTTTGGGAGTTGTGGTTTTCTTCTACAATGGAAAAGCTTCTCATCGGTAAACATTATCGGTTTCCATGTCACCAGTGAAACACCTCAACAAAGTCATATCTCTAGTCTCCCTCTTTTGCTTCTGCTCTTTGGACAGGAGCTGGCTTTTCACTTTGAAAAGTCCAAGTCCAAGGTTCTTTTCCAAAATCGTCCTCATGGTGGACCTTGAGACGTTCAGATCTTTTGACCATTTTATCTGCAACCATTTTGGATTTCTTGCAAAATGACATTTCACTTTTTGAATGAGAGTTTTGGTTCTTTTGGTGAGGTCTTTGGTCAGTCCTTGAAAGAGCAAAGTTCATTGTATCTTTTCATGGTAGTAAACACAAAGTTCCTCTTAATGCCTGTGTGGACGAGAAGACCAAATATTCTTCCTGGTGTTTTGTCAGCAAAATGAAGAGACACAATTGTACTGCACTTTCTTTCTTTGACCTCTATTTCAATGAAGAACAAACTCTGAATTGTCCTTTTCACAAATTATGAAGACAGAACAAAAGGCTTTCAGATGTACATCTCCGAATTTTTAAATTCACTTGCATTTAGAAATTACATCTCGAGAAAATTTGTATTCAAACATGAATCCCACCCTGTACAATCATGAGGCCTAACCTCTTGTTGGGCTGGTTGACCATTATTGTTCATAAATGGTCAGAAGTGACCATATTGACCAGTCAACTTCCCGTGCCTACTCCATCACTGTGAGTCATGACATACAAATGGTGCACAAACTGTAGGGAAAATATTAAATATATAAAAAATTGGCCTTATTGACCATAGTTGACAATATTGACTTGTCAATTATTTTTAATTCAATATTTTTAATTGACCAGTCAATAACCCATCCCTAATACTTATGGTTATAATTATTGATCCTATTGATTCATCTGCAAATAAAGCTTATTGAAACTATCAATTTGCAGCAGGGACATAATTTTGGGGAGGCTGGGGGCAAACCTCCATCACACCCAATACTCTTTGCCTTCCTCTGAACCAGTTGCCCTCCCTTGCAGAGTATAAAATGATGTTACTGATCTGCAAGAAAAGGTCTGCTTAAAAAATGAACCTCAGTGAAGAGAAGTTCAATGTGACCTGCAAAATATGAAAGCATACCAGTTGGGCTTGTTCTCCATTTCACTGCATACTCTAGTCCATTCAATATCAGGCTTCTTTTCAATCATTGCTCATAGCCTTTGGAAAAGTGAATTTGGAAGTAATTGAGAATATACACCAGAATCATATCCATCTCTTCATAGAAAAAGTTTCATGAAAATAGTGCATTTGGAGCAGAGATATATGAGGTATTGGTTAAACGTCATTAGTCTCTCTTTTTTCTCATCCCCTGTATATGTGAGTCACAAAAAGTCCAGCTATGGGCCTATCTTCAGGTGCACTGTGACCCAGTCATTGAAGCACCCTTAGATGCATATTTTCCATTTTAACTCCAACTGGATTAGCTACAGCTGCCGCTGAATTTTAGAATGCAATCAATTTCTTGTCTGAATAGCAGATGACCAGAGGTTTTGATATGCATATCTCAAGTTGGGTAGCTGGTTGGGATATTCCATTCTTTACTCCCCTTGTTTGTCATTGTCTGTGACATTACTTTGGCAATTGAAAGGCCCAAGAAATGCAGAGGGTGCGCTCCCTGGAGGATGAAGTGATCAGGTTGAGGTCAGAAACTGAACGACTTCGTAACGAGAAAGACTGTCAACAGAGGGAGGTGAATTCATTGCAAGGGTTGCTGCAAGGAATCCGAGCTGGACAGCCCCCTTCTCAGGTGACTTTTCACCAATTTTTGATGCTGAAGGCTCATCCTTAATTCTTGAAATAACTGCTGGTATGATATTTCCTTTTCAGTATGACCAATTGCGGATTCAAGAATTGGAAAGGCAGAAGTTGGAACTCCAAGAGATGCTGCCTCACTACACGCAACAGTTGAACCAAATGCGGGAAGACCATCGGAGATTGCAGAGAGAAAGAGATGATGCCAAGGCTGCAATTGAATCCATGAGAGAAGGACTGTATCGTAGCAAAGAACAACAGGAGCCTCGATCCAGCTATGTTGTTGAAGGATCAGCTGCTGTCCAGATGCTCATCACACGATTAGAGAATGAGAAGGTAGCAATGAGACAGGAGCTTGCTCGGGTCAAGTCAGATCGTGACACCTTGATGGAGAGAATGAAGGTAAGTTCCATTTGGGCAGGGATTTTTTTTGGCTTTCCTTGTCTATGTTGAGGAGGGTATTGCTAAAATTTATAAGAACATGTAATTTTTCCTCATATATATGGTGGTCTCAAGTAAAAAATGCTTCATTCCTTTCTATGGGTGTCTGGAAAAGTTTTCTTGAGGAAAATGTTCTGGAATACTTTTGAAAAGAGTATGTAGGTTTCTGGTTATTTTTTGGTTGATTCATTTGAAGCATGATTGAAACATGAATAAACAGCTGGCAATCAAGATTTAAGAGGCATTGATGCATCAATCATGTTGCTCATGATGTGTCATTAACATCAAGTTTGGCGTGGTCCATGTCATCACCCCTGTCTGAATCTGTTAGTATGATGTCCTCAATATCCATGATGCAGAGAAAGTGATCAAGAGCTCAGGTGCAAAGTGAGATAATTTTAATTTGCACCACCCACCTATTCATTTTACCAGTTAAGTTGTCTAATTTCTTTTCAACAATTACTGATAGAATTGCTTCAGCACAACAAATTTGGGTGAAATCTGAGGTTCCAGTCGTAAATATACTCATAGATGCAAAGTGAAAGTTTTTTAAAAATAACACTATTGGGAGGGAAGGTATTTAGGTTGAAAGTTGTTTGTCTTTTTTTTTGCCATACCCTGTACATGAAACTTGGTGATATGAGAACCAAGACATTGTAAAGTGAAAAATGACAATTGCAGTCACAGTCACTACACTTCACGACATATACTGGAAGTGGTACCTGCCATGCTCAATACACTAGCACGCACAGTGAAGCATGTTGCTGGACATAGACTGTAACAACATTGGCTGAATGCTATGCATTGAACATGGTGGTGGCCACTTCCAGCATATGTTGTGATTGTCATTTTGCACTTTAAAATGTCTTGGTTCTCATATAACCTAGTTTCATGTATATCTGAATGAAAGTTCTTTTTTAATTTGCATTTCTTTGGGTTAACTGGTAAAATAAATACCTTGTAAAATTATGGCAGTTTTGTTAGAGGGATTTTTTAATCACCTCACACTTGTAGAAAAATAATTAAATATGACATTGATCAACCTTATGAAAGTTGGAATGTGATGCCAGGGAGGCTCAGGTCATGATAACTGTGAGAAAGCTTGGGCTTAAGACCTACTGTTCTCATGGTGCATGATTGGACATATAAAAGAGCTCAGTTGAGAGGGTTGCATAACTCAGGAAAACTGTTCTACATTTCTTGGATCCTTTCTTTCATTTTCTTTTTTTTTTTAAGGGGGGGAGCACTTGGTCCCCCCCACCCCCATTCCTATATAAATCATGTCTGTGTTTTCTTTTCAGTTACAAAATTGAAAGGAGAGTGGAGTTTTCTTGCTATCTCAAGAAACATTTTTTGCTTATTTGGTACTGAATTATCTCTAATATAGAACCAAAGAACCAAATAATAAAAAGTACCAGTGCATAGGAATATTTTAATGTAAATGGCTATATGATGTAATGCTTCTCCTGCATTTCGTTAGGTAATTGCTATTGAAATAATAATATCTTTATTGTTCTGCCCTGTTCTGTTATATAGTATCAATCCATGCTGACCATGGATTGATACTATATAACAGGGATGAACATGGATTTTCACCAGTTTTATTTCAGAATGTCATCAGCACAGCATTTTGGCATAGGCACTGGCAGTTCTGGCAAAACATCTAATTTAATTATGGCATTGAAGTCAATCTCTGTTGCTTCTTAGTGGTTTGCTATACATCACTCCACATGACTATTCTTCAGTATCTTCCAATACTAAATCTGTTGAAATTGGCAGGCTGTAACAGATATCCAGCGAGGTGAGAAAGGACATTATGATGGCCAGTTGAAAGCATTGAAATTGCAAGTGGTGAACTTGGAGAAAGAGAGACAGGAAACTGTGGCGAGGATGAATTCCCAGAAGGTTCTAGTAGCCACATTGCAAGAGCAAGTGAAGGGCCTTCAGCAAACCCTTCAAGCCACTAAGACTCAGGCTGACCAGCAGAGGACCAATGCTGGACAGATGAGGTAGCTTTGACCTTGTGCTCCTTCATGATGCTTAGAGCATGGTTATCTCATTCTCAATGGATGCTTTGAGGTGACCTTGTGGTTTGTGCAGGTATCTGGCTGAGCAGACTGAGCGTAATTTGAGAGATCTTCAGGAGCAGATGACATTAAAAACTGCAAAGCTGCAGACATCATCCCAAAAAGCAGAAGATTTGTTAAAGGAGACAGGAAGCCTAAAGGAGGAGATGGAAAAAATGCGGAATCAACTCTCTGATTCGAGAGCAGCCATTGCCACTTTGGATCGAGACAAAGATGCTATGCAGGTCCTATCTCTATCCATCTCTCCCAGATTCTTTATCTTCACATAATTATGGCAGATTTGTTAAGTAGGCACTTGAATATGCTTTAAACATTTCATCCATTTGTCATTATTTCCTGTGTGTAGAATGCTTTGGATGAGAAGGCAGAGAGAATTCAAGCTTTAGAGGAGGAGAAGAATGGATTGCAAGAAAAGTGTGCTGTATTGCAAGCTAAGGTCTCTGCCATGGAAACAAAGCTGGAGTGAGTTCTCTCTCTCATCAGTGAGGCACTCTTGGGAGGGTTGAAGGGGATTTGGAACTTCTTGGTTGACCATAATTGAAGGGCTGAAAGGAAAACTGGTTAATGAAGAAAATGTTTAAGAAACTGATAGTTATTTTAATGCATAGGTTTTCAAGTGGATCATCTCCCACTGGAGACTTTGAGGTGATATGGAATTCCAAAAGACTGGTCTAATGCACAAGACCCTTTTTCCTTTCACTGAAGATTGCTGTGGACTTTCCATAAGTGAAGAACTGATCCATCTACATGTACCACTTTTTCTTGCTTTAACCCATCATGTCCTAATAACAAATTCAGATCATTTTAAATGGAGATTCTAGGCTAAGCAGTAGGCCATTTAAATGAGGACCTAAAGAATTAAGTTATGTGGTCCATAAAATATCCACTCTTCCTCAATAATTTTATTTTAAAATTTATTTGCAGATAGGTATGTTTTCCTTTCAGTCCTTCAAGTGACTTTTTTGCTTCTATCAGAAAAGTGTCTCCCTATATATTAGCTTAAATTTTTTTTATCGACTCATCAAAATTCCTTGCCTGATGCTTAGATGCTCATTTGCCTGTCAATAAGTCCAAATTCCTACTTTCATTCTCATTATGTTTGATTCAAGAGTAGCTGTTGCTATTCAGACTGAGACAAGGATGCTAATTTTTGGCTCCACCCCTGCTGATGATAAAATTACTCCTTGAGCCCAAATTCAGCCATGGCTGTTGGTTAACAATATTCTAGTATATTTTCTCATCGCTTTCCTTTGCGTCTGGGTAACAGACTTGTCAGGAAGAAAAATAGCGTTTGCAGTTTTCTCTGGCTTCTTGATGTACAACAACATGTACACCACTCACTCAGTTACTCCTTATCTCAGGAAGAAGCATTAACATGGATTGTCAGAGGTTTTTATTTCAAGTGCCTTGGGTTTGAGGTGCAAGGTGAAACACCAGCCCCACATGATATCGTCATGTAGGGACTCTTCCATCAGTTGGCATGTGTGTCATGTTATGGACAAAGCCACATGGCTCACAATGATGTTGGGCCTCTCGTAGTTCTGCTTCCCGCTGCCATCTTGATTCTGTGAAATTTTGCAGATCCATTTCCTTTTGATCAGGAGGAATATCAAAGGAATCTGTGATGTCTGGGGCTTTTAGGTCTAAAGTCACAATATGAGTGAAAATTATTCCTTCTTGGAACCTTCTTGAACCGCAGTGATGTTAACAAAAGGGCTGACTATCAGTCTGCCCTTTTGTTTTCTCCTTTTTTTTTGTCTCTGTAAGTACTAGTATATTACAAAGACAAATACCCACCATGAATTAATGCAGAAAAGAGCTGTAGGGGGAGTGCCACAACACAACATAGTATACCTTTATGTTAGCTGGCAAAAGCAATCTGACTGGGATCGATCTATTATACTTACAAGAAACAGTTGTCACGTAAAAGTATCCCGTGAAATAATGTAAAGAAGAGGAGCTTTTCTTACAGAGTGACCTAACGTTTAGTTCATTTCAACTATATTTAATAACAACTTTTTAAATGCATTTTTGCCAGATTACTTCACGACTAGCAGAGTATTATTGACATACCCTTCGTGATCACGAATACATTTTGAATAATTATCGCAGTCGTTATTTCAGTTCGAAGAGAAGGCAATGCTTTGGGCCACTCAGTATTTCTGATGAATCCCAAGTGATTTCTGCTTTTCATGTATTTATCGATTTAAATTTGGTACGACTTCCATGAACAAGCTTCGATAAAACTTTTCCCCCTTACAATTTCAAACGGGCAAAAAAATTTTTAACTATTCATCATGATAGCGGTAGTAATTCCCTGCAGGCTCTGGTGGAAGAGCCTTAGAGATATGGGAATGTATTGAGCCTATGGAAACTAAAGTGCAACGGTTTAGCATTGCTGGCCCCCGTGACAAAGATGGTTGTGGGAGAGGCTTCTGAGAAGCATGCAGAACGGAAAACTGGTTCAGCCGTTTTCGCTTTGGAATGAGAATTTTGGACGAGGAACTTGGGGCAGGGCAAGTATCTATGGAACGAGCATTGAGGTTATTCCAACCGTCCTGGAAAGAAAAAGTATCCACCTGACCCTCATATTCAGATACCAATGCCAGTAGTTAGAGGTTTCCTTCGAGGACATTGCGCACCACCTTGGATGATCGCGCACGTATAAGTGTTTGCCCGTATGGGTCCCCCTTCCATTGACTGAAAGACATAGGTCACTCGACCCAAAAATGTTTCCCTTGCTGATTCAACCACTATACTTATGTGAAGCTTTCACCGAATACAATAGATCACCATTATCTGAGAAAAATTCATCGGAACACCATTGATAGACGATTGGATACTAGTAAGTTGAAGGACGTGTTCAGGAGCAGGACCTGCGCATTATATTGCACAATATGCCTCAAGATAGATTTTACCTTTTACCATGTGCTCTCCGGAACGCTATTATGAAAAAAAGTGATCAGGATAGAATGAGCTCATTAGTGCCGTTTACTTTGCGGCTAAATGGTACTATTAGTGGAGGCTTAGCTCGATGCTTCTGTCCATGGTTGGTTTGTCAACCGACTGCATAACTAGACCGGGGTTGGGACTCTCGTCTTTCATCCATGTGTCAGAAGAGAAAGTGGGGGGAGGGGAGGGGAAGGTGTGTGTGAATGAGATCGCGATCATGATGATGATGATGATGATCATGATGGGACACATTTGATGGAATGGATGGGAAGGAGAGTCGGAAGCACGGAGAGCATTCTTCCCTTGGCCCCAATCTCTTCCTATTCTTTCCATCTTTCCTTTTCTTAGCATTTAGCAGCGAGCTACTGCTTGACTTTTTTACCAATATAAGGATGCTCGCACGGTGGGAAGAGAGAAGAACTTATTTTTTCGAAGTGGAAATATGTCAGCTACCGTCATATTGAGTTCCTTTGTTGGCAGAAATACGACGGAATAGGAACGAGGCAGGAATCAGGTTTTCGACGGAAAACGATGTCGGGATGGAGACTTGAGATTAGAAAAGCGAAAAAAGATTGAATCTCTTGACGTCATAGTGGCTGGTCGGGAAGTGGACGAGACCGGAAGTGCAAGGAAAAGAAACGCGGGGGGAATTTTTAAGAGCCATTCATTCTATCTCTAAGTGAGTCTGTCTCTCCCTCTTTCTCTTCCGCATCTGATGATGCAAGCGCTAATATCGAGAAGAAGGGAGAAATAGAAGGAAAAAAAACGAAAGGAGGATTCAATCATCCGTTTTCCTTTCTTTCAATCTATTCAAGGGAAGAGGAGCGGAAAGGACGGGGGGAAAAAAAGAACTAGGTCACGGCCAGCGAAAGAGAAACTGTAGGGGACATCTGTAGTATTCATTCACATCAAGGTGTAGCTGCAGTTCTCTCTCGTTCCAGCTCATTTTCGGGGGGAAATGTTGACAGAAAATGCCAAGGCCTTCCAGTTTCCCTTCAGTCGCTTCAATTTAACCGATCTTGTCTTGCTCCGTCCATTCATTAATGGTTCGCTTCGAACCGAGTTTCATCTAATTTTTAGCGTTGCAGTGTTGCTATGAAGCCGATTATGCAATACATGCTCTTACTTGCGCCGTTCGTGACTTCCTCCATTGGATTTCTCAATATTTTTGTGACTGGAGGATTTTTTATTTCTATTTTTTTTTTATCCACTTGACAAGTAAGTGTTTTGTTTTTGTCTCGCATTAGTCATTTGCCTTTGGCCTGGATGCAGATGGATTCCTCCGGTCTATCACGCATTGGAAAAGAAAGGGGGAGGGGAAGTAAATTGAAGCAGGTTTGCTTGTTTCATCTATGGAACGTGGATACGCTCCAGTTCCACTTCCCAGGCAAGAGACTCAATTTCCAGTTCTGGTCCAAATATTTTTTCAGGATGTAGGAGAAGTTCTTTTATTGTTTCTCGATCGCCTTGGGCAAGTAGTTGCTTATCTTAGGTATTCCGAATGAGTGATTTCCTTGTCGCGACTTGAATCAAAAGAGCGCAGACACGGAAACAACATAGAGACTGGGAAGGGGAACACAGAAAGAGATCGAAAGAAAGGGTGAGAGTGTTTTTAAAAGAAGGATGTGACGGAGTACGCATACAGTGTGCTTGAACGGGGGTGATGTTCCAGCTTTTTCCGGCCATTTGAGCATCTGGGTCCCCGGCCCAGAAATGTCTTCCACTCCTCTCTCTCACTCGTATCTCTTCGTTCCGCTTCGATCGCTTCCAGGCAACAAGAGTGAACTATAGATGCCGATTGAAATGAAGACCCTCTCCTAATTAGATGGATGACCTAATTAGGTGGATTAATAGTATCGTCCATGAGCCTCTAGAGTCTCGGCTCTTTTTATTTATTTAAATATTTTCTTTTTTTTTTTTAGAAGAGAAAGTCGCCCTCATCCGTGAAAGTTCCACCTCTTCCTCAACTTTTCCCCATCTGGACCCGTTCACCAGGCATGGATGAATTCCTAATTACTCAACTACTGCTTATTCTGTACCGAAAATGGAATCCATTCCTTTCCCGTAAACGAAAGTTTCTCATCCGCTTACCATTTCACAATGAAAAAATGCTCTTTTCGGTTCATTAATGACAGTAATGAAATTATTGTAACTTGGGAAATATCTAGCTGAAGCGGCTATTTTCTCACCGCAACGTGAAATAGTTTCGTCATCATCGTCGCGGAGAAAACGAATCGATGTGATATGAGTTGGAACAGATTTTCAGCTGGTGCCATGCCACATGCCAGGTGTAAGACATGTCATTATGGGGTCATTATTGCTCTCGATGAAAGCACGCCATCCTTAGTGGATTCTCTGTTATTTTTCGCGGGCCACGAGATCTTTCACTCTGCTTTTCTTTCTCTACGGCATGGCCGTTCTTTCATTTTCTTTCCCTATGGCCTGGTCGTTCTTTCATTTTCTTTCCCTATGGCCTGGTCGCTCTTTCATTTTCTTTCTCTGCGCCATGGCATTTTCCGCGCCCGTGCATTTTCTAGTCACTTTCCCTTGAATAAACGAAGCACACGCGAGTCATGATCACAGGACAGTTCCTTCATTTTCATCTTCCATCATCTCAGTCGAGCTTTTGGCACTGAAGAGGAAGAAATCTAGAGAATGCGCGGTTGGTCACAGTCAGCTTTGATGTGACGTGTGGAACGACACTGGTCGTGACTTCCTTGAGCGTGCAGCCCGGACTTTGAGCAATTCCTTATATCCGAAGATCTCAAGGGCAGGCTTGGGGAAGCAAGCTCCGTACATGGAATCGTAGGTGTAGCCCTGTTCGCACGCGCATTCCAGGTGATCCGTGTCCGCGTTGAGCTGTAGTCGTTGATGTTCCATGCAAGGACCCTGGGAACCTAGCTTGTAGCACTCCCCATCCAAGGGCCACTGGACCCAGGCCTTGGAGAAATCACAGACGCATTCCGTTTTCTGGCTGGTCTGGTTGAAAGACAGGATTTGCGACTCCTGACAAGGCCCCCTGGTCCCAGTCTCGAAGCATTCCTTCGTGTCCTCCCAGTAGTTCTGAGTGAGATCAGAGGAACAAGCACAAGTACCACGTTGAGTGGTCTGATGATAGGGTTCGTAGATGACTAGCTTCCCCGATGGACAGGGTCCTTGGGTTCCAATTCGATAACACTTTTCCTCTTCGGGGAAGTAGAGCCAACCAGGTCGACAGGGCACTTCCACACAGGACGGTTCTTCGAGTTTTTCATTCTTGTACACCTCGGGCGTGACGAGCATTTGAGCAGGTGGGCACGGACCACGTGTGAATTCTCGGTAGCACCCCCCATTCTGTTTATAAGGGGCGTGCCTCGGTCGACATGTGCAACGAGGTCGTTGGATTTCGGGGTCGTACACGTACCACTGTCCCCGCGCGCATGGCCCTTGGACGTTCAATGGGTGACATTGATCCAGGTCCGGATGGTAATGTTGGACCAAAGCCTCGTTGCAACTGCACTGGGCCAAGCCGTGCGTCCGGTTGTGGATGAACAGGTAACCGTCGTTGCAGGGACCTTTGCTATAATGTTCGTAACAGGCCAGATCCGAGGGCCAATAGTGACGGGGCATTCGAGTCTGGTCGCAACCGCATTCCACTTCTCCGGTCTTTGCATTCACGTGGATCAAATCCCCTTTGAAACAGGGTCCCCGAGAATGACTCTTGTAACAAAGTCCATCGCGTGGCCAAAACAGCTGACCTTCGGGGCAGGGGGAGCGTTTCCTGCAAATAGTTTCCCCCGTCCCGGCCTCGTCGAAAACGAAAAACTCATTCTCCATACAAGGTCCTCGTGCGTATTCCCTATAACATCGTCCATCGCCAAGCCACATTTTCGTCCCGTGAGGACACGTACATTCCGCCGCCGTCGTCTCCAGGTTGAATCGAAGCTCGAAGGAAGGCGGGCACGGGCCTTGGTGAAAGATTCTGTAACACTGCCCATCTTGAGGCCAATAAACCAATTGCCAGGAAGTCTTAGCACACGGATTCGTGGCAGTGTTGGCCCAAGGCGGAGGTATCACGGCTCCTGATGCCAGAGTTGTTAGGATCAGGACCACATGACCTTGAAATGAGACCGGGGGGAAAAGTGAAAACCATTTATTCCGCATTCAGAAAAATGTACATAACAGTTTTCATAAATCGCTTTTCTACTTAGCAAGTGTGCTTCATTTATTGCCTAGATCATAAGACGCTGATTTGCGTCTTGAACTGAATCCTTCCCTTTCCCCATAACAAGAAATTATCCATAAATTAAAAGGCTGAAAGGAAACAGGACTGAGACTCTGGCGCAATATAGCAGTGAAACCCGTGTACCGGCTTCGATCGTGTTGCATCATAAAGCAATAAGAAAGAAAGTAGACCTCTGAACTCCGTTTCCCGCCAGGTCGTTTAAAAAAAAAAAGAAAAAAAGATTGCGAGATCTCTGGATGGATGCGCTCATGATCATGCCTCAGGGGACCCTAGATTCTCTTCCGCATTTATTCCCGCACTTTCCTCCTGTCTACCTCTTGCAATAAATGTGCAATAATTTGTCTTGCTGAGCGTTTCAAAATGGATCTTCAGTCCAAACTGGGATCCCGCGATTCTGCGGTGTCACTTTAAGACATTTTAAAATTTAAGTTCACATTATTTATCGATACTCACAATCCACAATGAGCGACAGAATCAGTATTAGCTGATGCAGAGATTGGAACTCACCCTGAATCCAGTTCTTCGGTGACATCATGCTCCAGTGACCTCTTGAGTCACAACTATGTGACCACGTGATAATTACTTCTCACTCAGGCCATGATGAGGGGCTATTGGGCATTTGTTGGGAAAAAGAGTGGGGGATATGGGGGGAGATGGAAAAGAAAAAGTAGGAGGAGAGTATGCCCAACACTCCCGCCTCGTATGGCGGCACAGGAGAAAGTGAAGGGGATTTCTTCTCTCGCACAGTAGCTGCTGGCACGAAGCTCCTGCCTTGCTCGTTTCCCTTCAGGCAAGGCCTTTTCCTTCGCCGTTTGATCGTGTTCGCCTCTCCCGCCTTCTTTACATGCATAGTTGCGTTTCTCTTGCAAGGTCATTCCTTTTTTTTTGGTCGCCTTCAGGGCACAATTTGAGAGATTAGCTTTCCCTGACGGTCGTCCTCTGGAAAGCGTAAAAAAAAAAACACATTCGAACGCTGAGATGGAAAATCAATCGCGAGAGGTCTCTAAGTACAGGGTGTCCCATAAGTCACTATACCATCTCAAAAATTCACATCTGCTAAACAGTTGGCAAAAAAAAAGAAGTACCATTAACTTAATGATAACATCATTTGGAATTACCTTTGTAAAAAAATGGAGGTTTTTCTGAAGTTTGAAAGTGCCTCAAAATGACCTCCGCCCATATCAATACATTTGGCATGATGCTCGCCATCAAAATATTGCCGAAACTTCCCTTGGACTCGGATGGGACTCTCAAAAACCTCCGTTCCAGGTAGCAACGAAGGAACGTTACTCGAGCGTCAATTGTGATGCCTTTTCTCGTTACAGCGAAAGCAAATTAAAGGAAATTAATTTTTTAAAATTGTTTCTCAGGTCTGTCTGGAATTAGGGGGGAAAACATGAAGTTTGGGCATTTTTGTAAAAGAGGATTCAAGAATGTGTACCATAAATAGCCCTAAAAACGTACACTTTTCTGACATGCTTTTGAAGGAACTTCTCTTTGAGTCTGATTCCAAGTCATTATTTAAAAAAATATTCTAAAGAACGTTCTTTCCATCGATGCTAAGAAAATTGACCTAGCTGTTGTAGTTTGAAATGGTATAGTGACTTATGGGACACCCTGTATATCATAAATTCAGTTTATTCCGCACTGATGATTGCCTGCATCCTCTGAATTATTGATTTGTTTTATTTTCCTGTCTGGGACAGGGAGGTTCAGGGGGAGAACAATGCGAGATCGAGAGAATCTGGGACTCTTCGCTATCAGCTTCAACAAATGCAGAAGCAGTTTGAGGCAATTGCTCAAGTCAGACAGGCCACAACCCAACAAAATAAGTTCGCGATATCCTTGCTTCTTGTCCATGCTCATCTGTCTCTCTTCATCTAATTATCAATCATTATTGGATAGGAACATGCAAGATCAACTGGCAGCAATGGCTAATGAGAACCGGAGGCTCAGTGCTGAGCTAAATCAAGCCCAAGGGGAGATACTGGATCTGAAGAGGCAGATTCAGGAATACGTTCATGAAGTTCGACGAATCGAGGACCTCCTTTCTTCAAAGGCAGGCAGTCAAAGAATTTCCTTCCATATCTTGAAAGAGTTAGGATGTTAATAAAATTGATGTTCTTAGGAAGAAGAAAGGGAAGGATTGCTTGAACAGTACAAGAATCTGACCGTCGAAGCCAATACCTTGGAGCAGAGCAACAGTCGACTGGAAAATGATGCTTCCTATTTGAAAGCAGAGCTTCAAGCCAAAGAAGCCGAGTTGAAGAGTCTGAGAGACAATCTCCATGCTCAAGAAGAAGAGATTCAAGATCATATCGATGCAAGAAATCAGCTCCAGCTGGAGGTATTGCTTGCTTCAGTGCTGGCAATAGAGCTGAATGTCGAAAAATTTACTTATTGAGGTTATGCTTATAGGTGGCATCCCTCCGTGATGCTTATGAACGGATTCAAGAAAGCCAGGAACAAATTAGGAAAGAGCGTGAAGCAGTGGAAGGGGACCTTGGAGCAGTACGGGACCTCTGTATTCAACTTGATGTTGGGAAAGATCAACTCAGCAAACAGCTTGTGGATGCCCAGCGAGAAAAAGGACAGGTCAGTCAATTTGCATGAAACAACATGACATTTTGTTATTTTCCTCACAGTCTAAGTTTAAAATTTTGCAGCTGCTGAGTCACATTGGAGAACTGGAAGAGGAGGTAGGGCTGCTGAAATCTCAAGTGTCAGCTGAGAAGGGACACGTGAAGAACCTTGAGGAACTCCTGCAGTCCACTCGTGAAACAGAATTTCAGCAGCATCTCAGTTCCCAGGAATTGGCTGATCAAGTGAATGCTCTTCGCAATGAAGTTAATTCCCTTCGTAACAGACTGTAAGATGGATCATTCCCTCCACTTCTTGTTAGCATCAAGCCATTTCCTGCAATAAAGCCCTGTTTGTGTCCTTGATAGGGAAACACAAGGGAAAGAAGCTCTCAAATATCGGACCCAAGTGGCAGAGATGGAGGTAGAACTTCAGCATCTTCAGAGGCAGCTGACCAATGAAAGATTTGAGAGAGAGAGATTGAATCAGGAATTGCGAAAATTGCAGAAACTCAGTCCACGGGGATTCTCTCAGTCATCTTCCATAGGTGCTGAAAGACAGATGCATCGGGTTTTTTCAACAGAGAGTGACACAAGTCCTCGAACAGCCCTCTCAAGTCCACCAGCAACTACTGGTCTACTCTTCAGCCCCATGGATACTGTTGCTACCTCTGTTCCAGATGCATCAGGTGTATCTACCCAGATCAGACCAAATTCGACCCAGTTTTAAGATATTTTCAGATAAGAAACAATTTGCATTACTGAAAATATATTTTCAATTTTTGATCTCCATATATGCATTGACAGTTGATATTTTAAAATATGATTATTGAGATCATGTTGACAAAAGACATTCCTTGACTGATCCCATAGTGACATGGATTTTGAAGTTTTGGAATACCTGTATCATTTGTATAGTGGCATGCAATAAGCAGGTCATGACATTTCAGGAAGTGCACTTATGCAATATGGAGTGCTGCATTGCTAACAGTATTGCATATTTATCTTCTTCCTTATTTTTCTATAAACAAGGTAATCCCAATGACATATTTTTGATGTCATTGCACTGCTTCTCTGGACTTGCTCCACAGACATACATTTTCTTGTCTCCTAAATAGACTGAACTGATGCTTCACGAATTTCAGACTTGCATTACCTTTCACATCATGAAAGGTGGAGAGAGATCCAGTTGACATCTCATTTGCTATCTGTGATTGGTAACTGTAGGCTTTTTAGTTTGTTGCAATTCAAGGTTGGTGAAGTGTAGGAAAGCAATGAGGTCAGTGTTGTCCAGGATTCAAGATAGTTAGTGATATCAAGAAGCGATTTCACCCATCTCGATATCACGTGTCAAGGTCGAGCATTCCTTAATTTTAGGGTAGGCCTAACCCTCTTAAAGCTAAATATTTTTGTGATTTTTTTTTGTTGCGCAACCTAGTTGCTTACTGTCTAGTACCTAACGTCAACATTGCCCCCCACCTTTTTGCCTGTCCATGAAAGCATCCAGCTTCTTAAAAATAATCGCAGAAGGGGCAACCACTACTTCGTCATCTAACGCATTCCATGCGTTCACCACTCTGCAAGTAAAGAATTCCTGTCTTGACTTGCGGTTTNTCTTGCTGCCATCAAACTGGAAAAACCTACCACACTCGACATTATCTATTCCTTTAATTATCTTGAAAGCCTGGATCGCCCCTCCTTAACCTTCACTCGAGCAAGTGCAGTCCCAACACTTCTTGTCCAACTGCTTCCATCAAACAATTTAATTGTTCGATTTTTACAGCTGCTCCTGCTGATGAGATTAAATGCATGGGAAAATTCAAAGAAAATCTGAAGAAAAAAAAGTCAGCTCATGATGCATGGTATGCCAACCAGGTAACACTTGAAAAAAATATCCAGTACTTGTAAATCAAAGAAATGTTGAATATTGGCAGAAGGGTGTAAATTCTTTACCATTTATTTGATAAAATCTCAGTTACAGGATGTAAGCAAATGGAGTTGAAAAATCATGAACTGATGTAATATAACCAAATTAAAATTTGGGTCATTTTTATGAACCATGAAAATTCCAACTAACCGAGCAAAACCTGAAGACTCATAAAAAGCCTCAAGCATGATATGACAATTATATGAACCCCATCCATTTTTTAAAATTTTTTTTTACACATCTGCTATCTTTCATGATGCAGGTACCCAAGCAGATAAGGCAAGCTTCCATAACCCTCTCAACCATTTCCAAGCCAATTGTGTATGTATCCTTAACAAAAATTTTTTTTCATTCAGATATAAAAATACATTTGCATTAGTCATCAAAGGGGTACTTATCCCATCAGTGTTACTTGTGAAATTCCAGGCTCATAGAATTGGCTCAGGAAGATTTCATTCATTAGGTTAAATGAAAGCAGTTCATGATTTTTCAGCTCCATATGTTTACACCCAGAATACAGACTTTTTTTTAATAACTGCCCTTTTCTACAATCATGCAAAATCAACCAATTCACCATTAGTGCATAAGAAATTAAGACTTGGTGTTAATGACATATGGGACACCCTGCCCAGTAACTGTTCCCAACCTTATCGTACAGACTTTTTTTAAACATTCAAGTAAGCAAAATTTTATGTTTATTTCTGAGATGAATTCCTCAACAGTCCAGGTCTTGTCACCCCCCCCCCCTCCAGGACTCTACTCTCTCATCCCTTCCAATTTGAGGATTGCTGCTGTGTAGTATGTATGCACTGATATATGGTTTGCAGTTGCAGGTCCAATTCATGTGTAATATATCTGCAGAAGGAGTCATGTGAACTTAATTTTCCAGTCCTCCTGTCAGGGTTCTAGGAGGCATCCTCCAATGAACATGGAATTTGTATTTTTCACTGGACAAGGCAGTTATTACATTGAAATTAAATTCATGGATAATGTGCATTGTACAACAATATTGTGAAATGATGGCATACCTGCACCACGTTTGGATGATGTCAGACAACTGAAGATTGGATTAGATTCCATAGGATACTCAATGAAATGCACAACAGATTTGGTTAGCATATGATTTTTAAGCTGCTCAGTGAATCACATCTGATGGGATTGGATAGGGTGCAATGCAACATGCATGGATCAGATTAGACTAGGAAAGTGCTGCTCAAATTTAAGACTAATTCCAACACCATTCCCTTTCAAGGGACAACCAGCAAACTTTAGTGCAACAAAAATATATGTTTAGTACCAAACCTACTTCACTTCATCTACAAGCAAGATGGCATTAGAAGGGAGTACAACCTTCACTTTTATATGGGTACAAGACAATTGAGAAAAAAAAAGGAATTTTGGTTTCAATTGAAAAAGTGAAGTGAGTCAATTATTTAATTACCTTTGCAGAAGTATGCAAGTACTCGAAGTTTAGGCACTAAGAAATCATTGTGTTATCATGAGGTGTTGAAAATATAAGTGGGCAGTGAGTATTTATCCAAAGTTTTCCCATTTCGAAGTACAAAATCTACTCCCAAGATATAATTTTTCTTGCAACAAACCCTGATTCTTTCCACCTTCCATTTTGAGAATAAAGCATTCAGATTTGTAAATGTAAGAGAAGCATGAGTGGTGTTCATTTGTCACAATAACATAAGATGGCTTGTTCACATTGAAAGCATGGAATGAACACTCCATGTTGCATTGCAAATGGTTCATCACTAAAGTCCACCAATCAAACATCATGTCTTATTCCATTGATCATCCAAATTGATTTGTGCGTAGAGAGATCGGATGAGAGGGGGACTCTGTGCTCCAGATGTCCTACTGTCTGATGGAATAACCACTGGAGTCATGGATTGTTTTTCAGGTACTTCTGTAGTATGTTGTTTCTGCATAGCACCGCCATCCTCTGGAGGTGGTGGAACTACTTTCATTGACCCTTTCAATGAATCAGGGGGTTGAGATGAATCAGACCTCTTTTCTTCAAAGATCTGATGGAAACCTTCTGAACTTAAGTATGGAGTACTCCATGACATTACAGAATGAGGGTGAAAAGGATGGTAATTTGAAGTTCTTCTTTTGGTGTATGACTGGTATCTTTTCATCAGCATTTCTGCTTCCCTTTCCAAGGCTTTCAGCCGTTCTCGACTCCCTTGAAGGAATTCCTTTGTCCCACTAGACCAGGATGAGTCTTCATCTTCAATCACCTCATCCTGCTCCTCCACAAGGGGTATTCTTGACTCTGAAAAACTTGGTCCTGGCCTTTGTTGCACCTTCATCTGTTTCTGCAGTGCATGATTCAAGGATTTTAAGCCTTGATGCTCCTGACGTAGATACTCCAATTCTTTCAGCGTTGATGACAATTTGTCTTCCAGTTGCAATAATTTCCCCTCCAGGTGTTGATTCTGACCATTTCCTGTTGGACTCTTCATCAATCCTGGGACAGAAAGCTTATCACTACTGTCTTCTTTTTGATCCCTTGTTGATCCTGCCCCTGAAATGCCATGGATTGGATTGTATGCAATGACCTGAGCTTCCTGTTGCATTTCTGCCTGCCTCTGAGGTCCTTGCACAATGAAAGACTTGAGCTCTGTCAGGAGACATCGAGCTGAGAGCATTTCAGCTGCAACTTCAGATACTGCTGCTTTTAATTCTCTGTGGGTAAAGAATAAAAAAAAAAGATTAAACAGAGGTAATACTGTAGGAGAAAATTTATATATCAATCAGCTTTCCTTACTGAACAGACAAAGATTCTTCTCTGCTTTGTAGAGGATATGAGATTCCTGGTTCAGATTCTCTCGTATTCTGGAACAATTTACAATAGTCATTACTTTATAATGACTGATAACACCTTTTTACTGGGAATGTCAAATGAGATTACCCTCCTCCACTGACCGAAAAGATAGCCTTGAGAGCCTGCAGTTCTTGCTTGAGCAACTCCAGTTCTTCTTGAGTCTCAATCACTCTGGCAGCCATTGCATCTTTCTTCTCCTTTTCAGAATCAACTTCCATCAGGGATTCCCTTCCAGATAATGAAAAAACATTACAATAAAGCATTTATCCTGTAGTTGAATAGCCCCAGAATATGCCAAGGTCCATCCCCCCTACATCTGTATAGCTTCTTTCTTCCCAGGTGAGACATCCCTCTTCAATTTCTCATAATGCTCATCCACTGACCGCAGCCTCTGAAGGAAATTCTCTTGCTCTTGGATGGAGTTCCCAATCATGGATGTTTTGGTCTCAGCAGCATGTGATAATGACTCCAAAAGGCACTCAAGCAGAGATGCTCTGCCCCTTTGATACTCTGACATGATTCCCCTTGGATTCAGGCCCAGAATGTTGCATACATTTGAAATGGCAGAAGGAACCACACTTAGCACTTGCCTAACACCTTCAGACTTAGCTGCAGATATCTTTGGAAGGTTGTCATGGATAGGAGCTTCACTTTTCATCACTGAAAGGGTAAAGTGGTAGTTGTAATGAACAAGATGTTCTGCAATGAGCCAGTTCACTGCCTGTGTGGTTTGGGAATCCCTGGACATGTTGAATGGAATGAAAGAGCCTTGGAGCATGAGGGCCATGCGGTGACGGAAGTATGACTGAAGGTCCTTCATCAGTGCCTTTTCTTGAACCCTAATGAGAAAAAGAATAAACCTTACATGTTTCCTGTTTTAAGTAAACCAGGATACATGCATGACACTGCCATGCAATACCATTGATTCAGCTTTTGCTGTAGGTCTGCATCACTGACATCAGCAATTGATGCTCCAGACATGCTTCTTCCTTTTCACCTGGACAATGAATTATCCTGAAAGGTGGTGAGTGCATCTGTGTCAAGCTTCTGTCACTTATAGTCTAGTTGATTGAAGCAACCCTACAACTGCTTGAACTAGAACCATACAACTCTGACAACTCAATGTTAAGCAGCTGCTATCGAGTCACAAGGACTCATCCATGATGCACTTAACATCAGGGAAGCTATCTATGTGGACTACATAGCAACCCCCTCTTTTAAACAATGAGCCAATAGTGTAAGACTGACTTCAAATTCCTATTCACCCTATCAAATATTAAATCAGATGATATAAAGTAGACATGCAGTTCACTTAATGACAATCCTAGAGCATTTGAGATAAACCTCACAATAGTTTATCAGACTATTCAGGAAAATGATTTAGGGTTCTCTTAAATCTTACTTTACTCCACTGCTGGATTTAATTATAATACTTCAGAAAAACATGCAATGTTCCATGGGAGCATGAATCTTTAAACTTTATTAGGCAAACGTTTCAGGCAACACAGAAAGGGCTCTTCAACATTTAGGCAGTGAGTATGCAAGCTCCACCAACAGCCTTGATTTTCTCTTCTGCACTCCTTGAGAAGAACTTTGCCTTCACGATCACTGGTTGCTTGGGTAGTACTCCCTTCCCCAACACCTTGTAGTACCCCTACAAAATAAAAACAGAATGCATAATAAACTATGCAAATGGAGGAAATACATCTCATGCCAATTGAACATCATGATGAACCATACAGCTCGCACAACATCAATGACTGGCGCCTTTCCGTCTTTGTTGTCCTTGTAGGTCTTCCTTGTCTGTTCAGTGACCAAGGACCAGAGTTTGTCCAAGTTGATAATGGGACACCATTTCTTGTTGGGTCTGATGTGGAAATTTCTCATGCCCACCTACATGAAGAGGTCAAATCATGAAAACTCTCATATTCATGCAAAAGACAAACTAGCTTCAAGTTTATTCTGCACCAGGTCAAGGAAAATTGCCAGTCTTTGAGCAGTTGGCATTAAATATGAATAACAAGTAGACACATGAAGGCAGCCACCTTACAAAGAACATATATGAAGGGGTTCAAAAATAAAAATGCATTTAATTTTATTTTTCTTCTGACAACCCAAGGCAGTGATTCTTGCAGCACTATGCATTGGATGATGTGGCTTTCTTTTTCTGGGCTAACTAGTTAGCAGCAGTAATCAGGTCATGTAAAGGTTGAATTTATAGTAACATTAATGAGGATAACATAAACAAGGAAAGAAGAAAAGTAGAATTGTGTACACATTACCTTTCATCAGCATGTCAGTCTTCTGTTATATGAAGAGTTACAGACTCAGCATATTCATGGAAGGTTTTATGAAAATTTTCTGAGCATAAAAATTTCTCTCCTCAAAAAAACATAACAGTTACTCATTTTCTTACAGCAACTAGATTGCCTTCTCTACCATCAACAATTGCAAAAAAATTATTGCATTTCCCAGAATTCAACCATTTCCAGCTGCCTATTGAGACCACTGAGCTAAAAAGAGAACTGGAGATGGTGCACAATACGATGGCTTTGGGGCAATTGGAAGCCATCTTAGTTGGGTCCGTGGTGGCTCTTCTCCATTCACTACAATGGGATTTTCATAATTTCCCATTTCAGTTTTCTTGCTGTCCTGATCATGGTGGCAGGCAGTCATGGTACCAGAGGCCTAATAATTCTTGGTGGAGTATCATAGGGCTGATAACGTCATGTCAGAACTCTTCTTTCATGTGGGCGAGTGGGTCATTTCTCGAGTGGGCCTCCAAGTTCCAGGCTTGCTCTTGCTGAGTTTGCTGGGCCTACGAAGGCGATAACGTTACGCCGCCCTTGCATCATCACAATCGACATAATTTACCGCAAGTCTAAGGCATAAAGTCAAAAGAACTTCGAGTGAACGTTCAAAGGTAAACATAGGCTAAAAGAAACGAAGGGCGACCACGAGGTGCATGGTAGAGGTGTTGGCGGGTATTGGCAGGGCATGCTATCGAGTGAACGTTCACAGGTAAACATAGGCTAAAAGAAACGAAGGGCGGCCACGAGGTGCATGGTAAGGGTGTTGGCGGGTATTGGCAGGGCATACTTCCGTATTCAGAAGGGCTGCTCCAATGTTCCCGCGGTACCTGCTCCCTTCCTCGGCCAATGCGCACCGCAGGCCCGCTTTAGCCTGGACCCAACCAATATGGCTTCAATATGCACCCTTTTCCCTACGCTGCTCCTATGGCCGCACTATCTCCAGTTCTTTTTCTTAGCTCAGTGGTTCGACCCCGTGACGAATAAGCAATGGAGCCCGGTTAGGTGGAAGGGGAAGCTTGGCGAAGTGAGCCATGTCCTTGGGCTATAGTCTACCGACGAACGTCGTGTCAAGGTTTCCCTGCTCTCCCATGGCCCGAGGATATTCTTTCCAGGACTTCTCTATCGCTGAGTGAATTCGTCAGGGGGTCGGTCGAACATGGTTTGCAGCGCAAACCTGAAAAAATATATATATGAAGAAGGGGAATTGGGATTGGACTTTTGTTTCACTCGTGCTTTCCCCTCCATTTTTCTTGTAAGCGTCTTGAGAGCATGAATAAGCACTCTATTCAGGACGACATGGAGACCTTACAGGGACATTCGTGTACACAGCCTTCGTCGAAATGGTTTCTGAAATTCCATATCGGCTAAACGATACTTATCCTCCGAGAACTACGTAAAACGGGTGGAGCGTGTTATCTAAGTCTCGTATTTCGCTGATTCATCAAAATCTGCGACCTGAAATGCGAAGAAAAACCTTGAGAATTCAGTTCCAATAAGACGCCTTGATAGGAGATGCCTATATCATGCCGAATGGATCTCTCGGAATCATTTGGCAACTGATAAAGCGCTACTGCATTACGATGTCGAGGGTATGTTGATGCCGATGATGCATTGTCGACACGGAGTCGATGTTGACGGTATCACGAGAACATTATCCGGTCAACGTTGCATCGAAAAACGTCAGGCGAAACATCTGCCAATTATTTGAAGGGGCGAAGGGATTCCAACTTCTGCATGCATTCGACGAGAGAGGCGTCCCGACCCAACGAGACCTAGGATAATTCTGAGCCGGAGGAAGGTGGTCATGTGCCTCCAGGAGACATGAGTGTTTTTAAAATGTCGATCGAAAAATGAAAAAGGGCTTTAGCAATTGGAAAAACAGTAAGTGATTAAACTCACCTCCTCCTCCAAGGAGCATTGCATGCTGGTTCGTTTCCGAAGGGAACGGGGCAGGTCGACGAGTAAGCAGGGGCGAGGCTTTAGCAAGCTGACTGTGGCGGCGATCCGCTGGCGACCTCCAGCGCACTGTCGAAAGGTTTCATGAGTTCGGGAAACTCTTCCAAGGAAGTCCCGATGCGGAGGTATTAGGCAAGATGCTCCATGGATATTTTGTTCACTTGAACACCCTCGTGATGAAGCCGCCCATCTCCACGCGTGATAATTCGTCCCACCATTTCGGATCCTTTTTCGTATTCATACCGCAACCAGCAGGCGTCTTCGTGAACTTCACGCGACCCGTTCACTAACTTAACCTTGTGTCTTCGGTACACGAGGAAATAACACCGCAAGGCACATTCGTCAAGAAAGGGTTTCGCGAGCAATCCAGTGCCATGCACTCTATCAGACTCTGTATGTCTCATTATTAGCCTCTTCGGATGCCACACTGCACAGGTTCGCCACAGTCGCATATGAACACAGGCACTGAAATATATTTCACTCATCGCTCACACTCATACCGAGAAGTCAAAAGAAAGGCGTCCTCCATGAAAGACGGAACACACCAGTCTAAGGGTGGGTTTTTGAACCGAGCTCTAAAATAATCCTGCTATATTGGATAATACAACTCTATAAAGAGGAGCATTATTTTTTCAATTTTTGAACTGGCCAGATAATGCTGCATTTGACAATGCTCTATTATAATAATCCTCGATTATTTTCAACACGACATGAATCGTTACATGAAATGCAAT